CCCCCCACCCTCCGGCCCCTGGTGTCGGAGGTTCGCAGTGTCGCTGCAAACCTCGGCCACTGCGGCAGCTCAGAGCCAGGCTCAGTGGGGTGCGATTGGAGCTCTGAGGTAGCCGTGTTTCTGGCCTAAGGGCGTTCCTGGGTCTCCTGGCTTTGTCCCGAACGCCAGGAGCTTTGTCCCGAATGCCAGGAGCCTTGGCAACGACCAGGCAGGAGGCTACTGACAGGCAGCGACAAGGACAGCGGAAGAGGCGAGGTCAGCCCAAGCCCCGCTGTTCTGACTCTGACCAGCCAGCCCAGGCAGGGCCACGTGGGTCCCACAGGGTCAGCCGGGGTCACACGGCTGAGCCGGAGGCCCCAGCTGGGTGGAGGTGTATCCGGTGGTGGGGGTGGGCAGCACCAAGGACAGCTCTGGACAGCTGGCCTCCCTCGGTCCCTCCTGTCAGGCCTGGACACCGCCCTGCAGCCCCACCCTTGGGCTGTGGGCACGGGGCCCCAGCCCATCCCACACACCTCTCAGAGGAGGCCGGAGACCCCCGCCCCCGCCCCATGGGATGAGCCCCGTGCACACCCAGCGCCCATCACCCGCCCTGCCTGGTCACTCACTCCCCTCCCCAGCCCCTGACCCTCCCTCAGCACCTTCCCTGTGGGATGGAGGGCCGAGGGCCTGGGGTCCGGGAGCTTCTGAGGCCCAGGAAGGAGAAGAGATAATGCGGTTTGTGGGAGAGAGGGAACAAACGCGGAGCAACCACTTGGGAGAGGCCAGGAGGAACAGAGTGGGCACGTGGTCAACATCCCGGGTGTCCTGTGTGTCCCCTCTGGTCCCCTCCTTTCCAGTGCCTTCTCGCAGTGGCCCTTGCGACGGGCCCTGAAGGTCGCAGGGGGGCCAGGCCCCCAGGCGCCCGGGAGGGCGGAGGTCTGGGGCCAGCACTGGCCACTCGGAGACAGAGGTGGTCCCCGGGGACTCCACCCGCCGAGCAGTCCCTGCTCCGCCCACGCCCAGGCCCAGCCGGGGTCTGCGCAGCCCCAGCCCACAGGGCCCGCGCCCCGCGCCCTGCGCCCGGGTGTGCACACAGGCCCCTGGCAAGCCTTCCAGATGAGGCCCACCTGAGACCCTCCTCCTGCACGGGGCTCGAAAGCACCCTGACGCTGCCTGTTTATCGCCAATGGGCAGCGAGAAGCCGCACAGAACACCCCCACGACCTCCCCGTGACCTTGGACAGCAGCCTGGCTTCTCCTGGGGCCCAAGGAGCACTTTACCCGCGGAAGGGCCCGCTCCGAACATTCCACGTTTGTTAATTTTATTATTTGGTTCCAAACTAGGCCTTCACCTCGGGGCTGAGTGAATTCGCTGGCATGAATCTCTGTGAGAGACGGTCTGCACAAATTCAAACCGACACCCCGGGCGGGCGGGGAGGGAACGGGAGAGGCACACGGCCGGTTGCCACGGCAACTGGAGACCCGGCTCCAGCTCCGCTCCGCGAGCCCTGGAGCTGAGCCGCCGCGGAGGCCGGCCCCGCGTCCCCTGCCCTCCCGGCCAGGCTGCGCTCGGGCGGGAAGGCCCCCCCCAGTGTCTCGGGGCTTCTCCCCACGCAGGGGCTGCACACGTCGCCCCTCCAGAGCTCTCTGAAGTGGTCAGCGCGACGGAGGCCCGATCGGCCCGGGCCGTCCACAGCCCAGCGGAGGCCATGCTCGTTCCAGAGACGGCGCGTTTTCGGCCAGCTCCTCGCGTGCACGCGCCAGGGGCCGCGCGCTCCCCGGGAGAGCCCCCCCGCCCCCCCCCGTGACCCCGAGGTGTGCCTCAACAGCAGACAGCCCCGCCACGGGGCTGAGCACCCCCACACTAGGGTCTGACCTTCGGTGCCGTCCACCGAGACCCGTGTCCTTCCGCCGACGCCTCCGGTTCTCCCACACGCGGGCTGAGCGCCAGCAGGGCCACCCCGTGGCAGCGTGGCCTCCGCAGAGAGACGAACGCCGGCCACTGAGCGGCGTTCCAGGCGCTGGGCTCCCGCAGGTCGCCGCGGACCCCTGCCGCGGACCCACGCCGCGGTGTCCAGGCTTCGGCAGGGTGTCCTGGACGCAGGAGGAGCCCCCAAGCCGGCCACCCTGAGGGGAAGCGGAGACCCAGGGCCCGGGAGGGGCCAAGGGGCCGAAGGCGGCAGCAGACTCTGCTGTCCTGGGAGGAAGCGGGTCTTTTCTTCGGGTCCCACTGCAGGCTCCTCGCCCACGGGCGTCCCGGCCAGCGTCCCACACACCTGCTGCCCTTCCAAGAGGAGCCTGCGCGTCAGAAGGGCCGGGGGCGGGGGGGGATGCTGGTGCCCCTGCACTGACCCCAGGCTCGAGAAAGTGGAGGTTTCCTCCACGAGCTAGAGGGCACAGAGCATGGGCTCAGGGGCCGGGCTCCCTCGACCTCCACGTCCACAGCGGCGCCGGGGCGGGCCCCGGCCAGGGGGTGTTCCCTGTTCCCGTGACAACGCACGGCACCCGTGACTTCCCAGGCCTGTCACACCGAACGGGGTCCCTCTGAGTTCTCCGAGCCGGACGAAGACCTGAGGCCCCCGGCGCCCTGGGCCTGCTGTCCCCACACAGGACACACCGACAGGACCAGGCGGGCCCCATGGAGCAGCAGCAAAGGGCAAGGCGGCCCGTCCGAGGGTGACTCTCTAACCAGGCAGCCAGCAAGATGGCCCACAGCTCTGTGCCTCAGCTTCCCCACACCTCAGGGCACTGCCCTCTGCTGAGTACAGAGCCCCACCTGCTCCCTGAGGTGGTGCAAGAAGATGCAGCGCAAGCTCTGGCTGGCGTAGCTCAGTGGATTGAGCTTGGGCTGCGAACCAGAGCATCGCAGGTTCGATTCCCAGTCAGGGCACATGCCTAGGTTGCAGGCCACGGCCCCCAGCAACCGCACATTGATGTTTCTCTCTCTCTTTCTCCCTCCCTTCCCTCTCTAAAAATAAATAAATAAAATCTTAAAAAAAAGAAGAAGAAGAATCTCTCACTTCAGGGAGGACTCAGTCTTCTTTAAAAAAAAAAAAGAGGAAGAAGATGCAGCGCCTGGTGCCCCCCAGCCCCAGAGACCGGGGTTGGAGCAGACGCCCCTCCCTGGCAGCTCCCAGGCCTGGGGGCCCGGGGGCCAAGGATCAGGAGGGGCGGTGGGACAGCTGCCAGTGGCAGGGCTGCTGGCCGGTAGGTACGCCAGCCCCTCACAGAGCCTCACGGTTCCTCAGATGGAGGCTCCTTGACAGGCCACAGCACAGCCGGCTTTTCTCGAGGGACACCCCCACTTCCACCCAGGGTGCCCCTGGGATTCAGGGTGCCGGCCTCCCCTGGGTCCAGCCACGCAGGGTCAGGGTGTGAGCGGCCAGCCAGGCCTGTCTGCCTGTAGGGCCCCCAGGGGCACTCCCCATGTCCCATCAGACCCCAGAAGGCTCCCCCAGCCCCCTGGGCCCCCTGTGCCCCCCACCAGGGCCTGAGGGATCCGGAGCTCAGACTGTGCATTCGGGCGCATCGGGCAGGACGGACCCCAGGACGCCCGGGTGTGGTTTCGGCCCCCAGCTCCGAGGCCAGGACACGTCACCGACTCCTGGGAGAGGCTCGGGGGCAGCGCCCGAGGCCCCGCACCAGGCAAAGGGGACAGCGGGTGACGGCAGTGGCCCCACATAGCTCCCCTCCCCCAGCCCCTGCCACTGTCCTGGGGGTCCGGGCCCCTGGGGGGCTGGCTCTTCACCCGGTCTTCCTGCATCTCTGGGCCAGGAGACCTGCGGGCAGCGAGGGGCTGACCCGACTCCGCCTGGACCCCGTGCCCCCATGACCCCGTGCCCCGTCAGTCTGATGGAGGGGCTGCAGGGTGCAGGGCACCGGGGCACAAGCACCGTGGGGCTCACTCCAGCCTGGGGGAGTCTGGGCAGAACCCCCGGTTCAGGGTGAGTCTCCCCCCCCCTCCCTGCCCCTCGGGTCCGCTGGCCCCCGGCCCCCGGGAGCCCACCGCAACCCACAGGTCTGGCAACCAAGCCCAGGAGGCAGGTGGGTCTCCGACCCCCACTCTGACCCCCACTGCCTGGCACCTGGAGGCCACTTCCCCCCCCGGGGGTCCACGCCCCTCGCCCTCCAGGCAGAGCCTGGCAAGGAGCCCTGGGGCCTCTCATCACTTTTCCCTTAATGACACCCTTAAAACAGGGCTCCTCCAAACCCGGGCCGCAGGGCCCTGGGGACTGCTGGGCAGAGTCACAGCCCAGGGCCCTACAGGGAGGAGGGACCCGCTGCCCCCTCCAGGCTCCCACCGGCCGAGCCCAGACCCCGGGGGGGCGGGGGGCGCAGCGGGCCGACCTCCCCGTGGCAGCCGCCTGCCGGCCCTCCCCCTCTGGCCTGCGGGGGTCTGGGGCCTGGCTGGGGCGGGGGCCGCGGCCTCTCGCGCCCAGCGCCGGCAGCAGGGCCGCCCTGCTGACTCACGCAGGGACGGGCTCCTGGGGGGCTCGCCTGTGCCTGCACATGTCTGGGTTCGTGCTGCTTGAACACAAGGACGTGAAAACCCCTCTCGGAGCGGCTCCCCGCTCACGGCTCGTCTGGGGGCCCTGCACACACACGCGCGCCGCGCTGCGCTCGCTCGGAAGGCACGCCCGCCGGCCCTCCTGCCTCCTTGCAGGGGGCCCTTTCACGTGAGCCGTGCCGCCACCGCTGGGAGCGAGGCCGAGCCTGGCCGGTTGTCTCTTTAAATCGGCTCTGCGGCCGGTGATGGGCGCGGGAAGAACCACTCCCAGCCTGCGGCAGGGAGCCGGCCGCCGCGCCGCCATCCGCCTCCCCCATCCCCATGGTTACGGCTCCCGCTTCCTGCCGGCCCTCGTCCGCGGCTGCCGCCCGCCGAAGCCGGCGCAGCGGCGGCTGGCGCTCCTCGCCCGCGTCCCGGGAGCTGCGTGCTGAGCGCCGCGCTGCAGGTCTGCCCGCGCTGGCTCTGACTCACGCCTCCCGGCCGCAGCCCTGCAATCTGTTGATCGCCCGCGAGCCCGGCGCACGGGCCCCGGGAATGGAGACCCGCTCCCCAGCACCGCGAGCTCGCCGCCGCTCCCGGGCAACAGGCGCAGCGCCGCTGCCGCTCCGGCTGTTTTTGCCAAAATAGGTGAGAAGTCGGGCTTCCTGTCTCGGGGTCTGAGCAGCGGGTGGGCCCGGCCGGGAAGCAGCAGGAGGTGGGGGGAGGCGAGGTTCTGGCTCCCGCATCGGCGCCGACCCGGTGTGGCGGTTCCTGCTCCTGGAAATGCAGGTTCCGAGTAACTTTGGGCGAAGCCGAGAGCGCGAGCCGCAGCCGAACCCTGGGTCTGTGGGGGCGGGGGGCCGCCAGCCCCGGAGCCGGCTGTGTCCCCTGTCTAGGGCCGGCTGTTCTTCGGGAGGTTAATTCAAGGTTTATGGGTTCTCTGGACGCGAGCGGACAGGCAGCTGCCCAGCTCTGCGAGGGCAGGGTCCTGGGCTGGGCGCCGGGCAGAGGCTGATTTTTAAATGTGGAGAAGGAAGCTCTCCCTGGGGGGCAGTCCAGCTGCCGGGCCGTGGCCCCTGAGGCTCCCCTGCCCAGGGCGCCCCCGTGGCCTCCGAGCGCCCCTCACAGATGGAGCCCCAAGTCAGAGAGTCCACTGGCCGGCTGGGCTGAGAGCGGCCGAGACGGGGCAACCCCGGGAGGCACGGGGCCCTGCTGTGGGGCGGGGGCAGCCGGGAGACCCTCCCCTGCCCTGACCGGGCCCTGTCTTTGCAGGTGGGTCCACTCTCACTCGCCCCACCGGAGTCGCCCTGAGGCCCGTGGCCCAGGGCTCACCCCCGTGGCCGCTGCTTGGCGCCTTGACCTTCTGGACGGCCATGGAGGCTGGCAGGGAGAGAGGTGCAACCTAGTCGGCCGGCGGCAACGCCACCTGCCTCCACGGCGCCCGCCCCTCAGCAACTTCGCGTGCTCATGGTGAGTCCACACTTGCAGGGGCCGGGCCGGGGCCACGCCGAGGGCGGCACCCTGCGCACGGGGGCCAGGGCAGGGCCAGCGAGTGGTCGGGTGGTCAGCCAGTGGGCAGCGGGGCCCAGACCGGTCCCGTCCCCGGGGGTCCTGGGGGGTGAGGCGGCCACTTGCCTCCCGCCGCCCGCCCGCCCGCCCGGCTGCTCGGCGAGGACCACGCTAATCAGCGGATGGCGTGCCTCGATGTTGAATCACGTCGTTGGCAGCGGAGGAGAGGTCCGCCCCACGCCCCCGTCTCCCCAGATCCAAGGCTGGGAGCCCCTTCCTGGCCCTGGGCCCGGCCCTCCCGCTGCAGCCCCGCCCACCCCTTCCCTGCAGAAAGTTGGCAGGACCCCAGGCGGGTGTGGGTGGGCTTCAGCCGCACCTACGGCAAACACGGGGGTGCTCCTCTCACCGGCAAAGGGGGGCCGACTGCCGTGAGCTGCGGGGGCCTGTGAGGGCTCATCCCGCCCCCGGGTGCGGCCGGCTGTGGGGCTGCCGGCTGGGACTCCGGAAGGTCGACGAGGGCCGAGTGAATGATGCATTGTGTGTGTGAGGGGCGGCCGGCGGGGCGCGTGCGGGGAATGCTGACGGCCGGAGGACAGCGCGGCCGGCAGCGGCCACGGACCCGGACAGGGAGGGCCAGCCAGACCCGGCGGTCCGCTTCCCGGGGAAGGGTCGCCCCGAGTCACCCGTCCGTCTCCTCTCGACTAGAAATGTCCGAGCGAGGGCGACGCTTTCTGCCAGAGCCCGGCGTCACGCCCAGGCCGCCCCACGCCTCAGGGGCTGGAAGGACGCCAGGCCCTCGCCGTTCTGACGGCGGGGGGGCTGCATGTTCCGGGCACAGGCCGCTCCGTGCGGAGGCCGGCAGCCGCCCAGCCCCCCGCTCGCTGGACCCCCTCCCCCCACCCTGCGTGCACTTGTTGCCCGAGGGAGACGGGCGAGGGGGAGGGTGGCCGTGGCCTCCCCGCAGCAGAGTCCCAAGCTGTCCCTCCTCGGAGGTGGGCCCCCTGGGCAGAGCGGAGCCGCGGCTGGTGGAGGAGAGGTGGCCTGGCAGGGGCGCCCGGGCCCCTGCGGGGCCCGCTGCCCGCCGGCCCTCCCCCACGCTGGTATCCGTGTCCCCGGCGGGTCTGCACGCCCAGCCGTGCCCCCAGAGCTGGGGTCGCAGCAGCACCTGGCTGGGCGTCGTGCTAACAGACAACAACCGCCCCGGAGACAGGTCCTAGGCAAGACAGAGAACGCCCGCCCCCCCATGCGGGACATTCGGGCGTGAGCCCTTCCCGGTGGGCATCTGAGTCCGCGGGGCATCGGGGGGGAGAGCCTGAGGGCTCAGCCGGCAGGTGGCCCGCCCCTGCCTGCCCCAGGCCACTGCCCTGCTGGCCCCTGCGGTCGGCACGCGGCCTCCGGGGCCCTGCGTCCCCACAGGCACCCACTGCAGGCCAGCTGCGCTGACCGCCACGCGCCCCGGGCAGGCCCCCCGGGCCCCAGCCTCCTTCCAGGACGCGCTGCCCTCTGCCTGGTGCTCGGGCCAGGTCTGGATGCCCAGGGCTGCCCCGGGGAGTTCTGTGTCTGGCACCTGAGGCCACCGCTGCCCCACCTTGTCCCAGCGGCTAGAAAAGGGAGCGGCTGTGGCCGGCCCACCCCGGCTGCCGCGGGCGGGGGTGGAATGCGGGCCGGCTCCAGGCATGCGTTCCTCCATGGCCCTCGGGGACCGCCCACCCCTCCTCTGACGGAAGACCGTCTGGGCCCTCGCACCTTCTCTGCCCCCTTCCAGGGCTGCGTCAGGGCCCAGCTCCCGCGCAGTGGGCCGGGCTGGGGCTGCAGGGAGAGGCCTGGCGTGGGCAGTGCGGCCACCTGCTCTCACCTCCGGGCACGGCCACCTCAGGGTGCGCTGTGGGCGAGCTCCCGTCCCTGCCCCGCCGGCTCCAACGGCACAAAGGCCACTCGGCCCATCCGGGGTGGACCTGGCTTAGGAGGCACCACAGCAGCAGGGCTGGACTCCTGTTCGGACCCCCGCAGAGCCCCCGCATGCTGGGACTTTGGGGCTGAGCTCGGAGTCAGGGCCCCGAAGCCAGGACGGGGCGGAGGCCAGCCCCTGCCCAGCCAGGCTTGGTGTCGAGACACACAGCAGGCTTCCGGCACCCTTTTCCCCACATAAGTGCCCCCCCTTCGAAGAGGGACTTAAGACCCCCAAAGACACCAGGGCCGAAGCCGGGCGGGGTGTCTGTGAGGCCAGCTGAGGGGACTGCAGGTCGTCAGAGCCGCCCAGGCCCTGGGCCCAGCGCCGCCCGGGACGCTCCAGCCCTGAGTTGGCTGCCATTCGTCCGCCTGCGTGTCCCCCCCACACCCGCCCGCCGGGCCGAGCCCAGGGCCCTGCCACCCGCCGGCCGGCGCCTCCAGCCTCGCCCGAAAGGCCGTCCCGCCGGCTGTGGACGCGAGAGAACCCGTGAGGGCTTCCCGTTGGCTGCCTGTAGTCCCGCCCAGTTCCTGCTCCTCTGGATGCTCCCAGAACCACCCCCGTCTCACAGCTGGGGACTGGCCCCTGCCACGCGTCCCCTTAATGCGACCAGCGTTAGGCAGGTGACACCGGGCCCAGCAGGGAGGTCCGGGGGCGGGGGGGGTGCTCAGGGGCCGGCCCCAGCTCTCAGCAGCCGGCCGGCCCGCACGCCCCCCAAAAGGAACCACAGCAAGCATGTAAGTGCGGCGTCCAATCAGGGAGATCTGCGCTCCGAATGAACAAATTACTGATCTTCTTCCTCTGCTTCTCCCCCGGGAGCACTTTGACGAAAGGTTGACAGATCGATAAAACGCAATTATCATTCGAAAGGCGACCAGGGACACCAGGCTCTGGTGGAATCAGCCTCGGCCGCTCGGGCCTCGAGGAAGGACGCCTGTGCGCCCCTTGCCTGCGTCCCCCGCCGGCCGGGCCCCTTCGCCCGTGTCACCGTCACTCTCAGCAGAGGGTGACGGTCTGCTCAGACGAGTGACACACAGCCTGGTCCACTGCCCCCTTCCGGCCGTTCTCGGCATCCTGACTGATGTGATTTGCAGAACATACAGAAACACACGTGCGAGTAAAATGATGTTATGTAAAAGGAAGCCACGCCAACACGAGACACGGGAATGCAGACAAACACACGGCCAGGCCCTCCTGTGGCCAAGGTGGGCCCCGCCCCCACTGCACCCCGGGGCTCCCAGCCCTCCAGCCGTGAGGCCCGGGCTCCGCCCACCGACGCAGGCTCGCGGCTCCGAGGGCCGCAGCCTCGGGGACGCGCCCGGGAGTCCGTCAGCCCAGCGCCGCCGACCGCACACGGCAATCGTGAGGATCGATCGGCTCGTGGGACGCTTGCAGCGTAGACGCTTCCAAGAGGAACTCGCACATGTGTGAACTGGGAAATATGAAATATGTCTCTGTTTTGCATTTTAAATGTCACCTCTAAAAATGGAGAGAGGCGCACCGCGCCGGAGAAAGAGGAAAGCCAGGCCAGCGGGAGCTGACGGTGTCCTGCCCGCTGCGGGTGCAACTGCTCTGGGCAGGAAGGGGTGGTGGGGTGCCTCCTGCTGCCCCAGCACCGGGCAGCTCAGCCCTGGGCCCGAGGAGGAGGAGGAGGAGGGGGAGGAGGGGGAGGCGGCGGCACCTGCTGCCAGGTGACTGCCTGGCCTGCGGGGCCGGCCTGGGCGCGTCCCCCCAAAACGCCCCTGCGTCTGGGACCGAGGCCCTGAGTGTTCGCCCAGCACAGGAAGTCTCCTCCTGGCTTCTCGTTTGTCTGAAGGGCGGGTGGGTGGGCGGGCCGTGTGGAGCCCTCTCCACTGCCGCCCGGCGCCCGGCCCCCGAATCTGGCGCCAACACGAAGCCGCAGGTCTCTAGGGAGCCGTGCGGCTCCCCCAGCATCACCGCCCGGGGTGGTGCCCTGGGAAAGGCCTCGAGGGCGGGCGAGCCCCAGGGCAGGGGGCGCCGGCCATCCAGCTCGAGGACGTGGACGCCGGGCTCCGCGCCGGCGAGAGCGGAGGGACGGGCCGTGGGGGGGGCTGTCTCGGGCGGGAGGAGCCGAGGACTCCCACGAGGAGGAGGAGGAGGAGGAGGAGGAGGACGGCTCAGGAGTTCCCCACGTGGAGACATCCGCACACCCAGCCAGACCCGGCTCCTCGGCCCACTGGGAGGAAGCAGCGAGGGAAGGGTAACGTCCAGCTGTGGCCGGACGGCAGGCTTCAGCCACGAGTGGGCGGCCGGGGCGGTGCTGAGCCGTGAGGAACACGGGACTCGTGGACGTCCGGGTGCTGAGCGGGGGGTGTGGGCCCCGCAGGCCCCGGGACCCTGCTGTCCGGCAGCGCCCACCCCCCAGGCTCCCTCAGCCTGAGCTGCTCCCCATCAACGGGCAGCTCTCCCCGTCACAGACGCTGTCCTCACACAGGTGCAGGGCCCCCAGGGCAGGGCGGCAGGCCCGGCAGGCGAGAGGCCAGGTGGCCGGGGCCAGGCCTGTGGCCATGTGGTCGCAGACCCTCCTCGGGGCCCAGCATGGACGGTGCTTCCAGTTGGCTGCTGCTGCTGGGCGCCCGTGCCCAGCGCCGTCCCCTGACCACGTCCAGTCATCGCTGCGTCTGGGCCAGGACGCTGTTTCTGGCCTCAGTGGTGGACCCCTCGGTCCCTCAGCTGAGGGCCCCTCGGCCGTCAGACCCTGCGGAAGCCCCTGGGCATCAGGGGCACCTACGGGAGGCCACTCTGCTGTCCTGGGGGCAGCCGACGGCACTCAGTCCCCGGGAAAATCCCCCGAGGGCCGTCAGAGCCCCGTGAAGACAGCCACGGAGCCAACCCTGAGGGCGACGCCATACACAGGCCCAGGAGGCCGTGGTCCCCCACCCCCCCATGAGCACCCCCCTGAGCAGGGTCTTGCCCGGCTGTGGCGGGGTGGCTGCCTCTGCGGAGACCCTGCCAAGGCCCCCCGGTTCAGAAAATGCCTCAGGTGACTTGCAGGGCGGGGTCGGGTGGGGCCTCGGGGAGAACCCCGTGGCTGGGCCACGCACGTGGCTTCCCAGCCACGCCGCTCACGGGGGCCTGTGCTGTGCTCCTTCCAGGATCTGAAGACTGTGCTCTCCCTGCCCCAGCACCCAGGGGAGTTCCTGCACCCCGTGGTGTACGCCTGCACGGCCGTCATGCTGCTCTGCCTGCTCACCTCCGTCATCACCTACCTCGTGCACCGCAGGTGAGGCCCCACGGCGCCCCCTGGAGGCAAACCCCAAAGTGAGACCCCCCCCGGAGGACCGAGCCGTCCCTGGAAGACTCGTCACAGGTGGCCAGCCAGCCTGAGCCTGCCCGGCCCAGGGGGCCCTGCGGGCGGCGAGGGTGGCCGAGCGTCAGGGGCAGCCACACCCGTCCACTCCAGGTGTCCACGTGCCCACTGCACCTGGGGCCGTGAGTTCCTCCTCCTGCAGCCCAGCCTCCGCTCAGCTCCTGGGAGCCGCAACCCGTGGGGAGCTGCAGCAGCCGACAGACCCAGAGGCCGCCGGCATGGTGCCTGTTCTTCTAGAACTCGGGGAGGCCGTCCAGGTCTCTGCTGGGCGGGTGTCCTGGCCACCTCTGCCTCGGAGCAGGGAGATGGCCGGCCGCATCCCTGTCACTCCACGGCACCCTGGGGAGCGGGAGGAGGGGTCCCCGCCATGTCAGGGTCTAGCCCACAGCTCTAGTTGTGGGCAAAGCCAGGGCAGTGGCACAGCCACACAGCCGCGGCCACGGGAAGAGGCTGTGGCCGCAGGCACAGCTGTGAGCTCGGGGCTGGTGGCGATCTCCGGCGTGGCCGCAGCCGGGGGCAGGCCTGCGGCCGGGGTCAGCGGGCAGTCACCCCTGTCACGGCCTCTCGAGGGGACCAGACTTCTGCTGTGTGAGGGACCGGGAGACCAGGGGTGCCTGCCGCACCCACCCCTGCCGCCGGCTTCGTGACCGGACAGGTGTCCTCACCTGTCGATGGCCAGATGGTGCGAGGTCTCCCCGAACCCTCCCGGTCCTCGTGTTCCGGGGGTACTTAACGCCAAACCCCACCAGCCGCACCCGAGGGGCAGACTCCACAGGGTACACCCGTCTTCCCCTCCCCGCGGTCCTCGGGGCGGGTCTCTCTGCCCGGCTCCCACGGGAGCACCCTGAGCGGGGAAGGGCCGGGGGGGCTCTGCCGGGGGGGGGGGCTCTACCGGGAGGCGGGGTCCTGACTCCGCACCCCTGTCTCCGCAGCGCCATCCGGATCAGCCGCAAGGGCCGGCACACGCTCCTGAACTTCTGCCTGCACGCGGCCCTGACCTGCGCCGTGTTCGCCGGGGGCATCAACCGCACGGCCCACCCCGTGCTGTGCCAGGCGGTGAGTGCTGCCCACGCCCGCCTCCCGCTGCTCTCCCGCCGCCGCGGGCGACTGTCCTGTCTGTGGGGGCGCGGCGGGCGTCTGCCCAGGTGTTTCTTGGGGAGGGACGGCGAGGCGCCCGGCGTGTCCCTGGTACAGAGCCGGTGAGGCTGGGGACTTCGCTCAGCGTCCGATCGCGTCAACGGTTGGTTTTCCGCGTGGTCCAGCCTGTGCCCAGCCTGGAGGCATCGGGAGAGGTGGCGTCGGTGGAGGTCACGCTGGTGTGAGGGATGCTCTGTCCCCTGGCAGGGGCACCCTCTGGACCCTGCGGAGCAGCTGGCCCTGACCTCCCCATGACCTTCTCGTCCATCCCCAGAAATGCACAGGGGACCTGCGGGTGCTGGGGGTGCAGCCAAGGGCAAGCCCTCCGGCCCCTGCGGAGGGGCACGCAGGCAGCAGTGACCTGCCGGCGCTTCAGCCACACAGAGCCCTCCGGGCGCAGGCCCACCACCACGGAGGGGCCGGGGGCAGAGGACAGGGCAGCGGCCACCTCGCGTGTCCCTCTGACGGGTCCCCGGGCACCCAGACAGGTCAACCGTGACTCTGGGCGTGTCCAAGGCAGTGTTGGGGGTGAGTGAGCTGATGGCCCCCCCGCCCAGTGTGGTGGCCCCGTCCAGCCTGCTGGGGCCCGAACAGGAGGAAATCCTGAGTGGGAAACAAGCCCATCTCCGGCCTTTGGACACAGACACGACGAATCGCGCCGTCAGTCTCCGGGGCCTCCAGCGCGCTGACTGCGGGCCGGCCCCACCTCGACTGGGGACACCACGCATGGCCTGGCCGCCTTCCCCGTCCGGTGCCGCCCAGGGCGACAGTGAGTGATGCACGAGAAGTGGTCCGAGCTCCGGATGGCGGAGAGAACAGGCGGTTGTTATGGCAACAAAAATGACCGTGTGCCTCATTAAAGCGCGAAATGACATCACAGACACAGACAGGCGGCAGCTTCGTCTCCACAGGACACACGTGTGCGTCCGCGCCAACCTGGGCCGGGAGCGTGGGGCAGCGTCGAGCACTGCCTGACAGCCAGGACGGGCCCCCGCGGACCCACCGTGTGTCCAGCCTGAGTCCGGGGGTCCGAGGCGGGGCTCTGCCACTCGCCAGCCCTCGAGACCCCCACACGTGCGGCCGGGGCGCAGCTCAGCCCCCCGCCCCCCGCGCCCGCGCCCGCCCCATCGGCTCCGCACGCTCCCTGCCCTCCTCGCCTCCCCACGCTCCCTGCCCTCCTCGCCTCCCCACGCTCCCTGCCCTCCTCGCCTCCCCACGCTCCCTGCCCTCCTCGCCTCCCCACGCTCCCTGCCCTCCTCGCCTCCGCACGCTCCCTGCCCTCCTCGCCTCCCCCGCTGCGTCTCTGGCTGTGCTTGCACGCCAGGACGGCCACACTGCCGCCCCCTGGGAGGAGAGTCGGGCTGGCCCTGGGCTGAGAGCCAGGCAGCGGGCCCCGCCCCCGCCGCTGCTTCTGCTGGTGCCGAGCGCGTCCCTGACCCCAGCACCGCCCGCCCCCCGCCCCCGCCAGCCGGGGGGTGAGGCCGTGTGCGTGGGAAGAGCTCGGGGCCCAGGAAAAGGCCGGACTCGCCCACGGGCGGGAGCCTGTCCAAAACTCTAAATACAATGCAGGGATCCCCCCCCAGGGGCTCATCAATCACTTGGAGTTTTCTCAGGAGCTGACACCGAACTCTGCGGCTGATAAATCATCGTGATGGGCAGGGCTGGCTTTCTCAGGGAGCCTGTGTCCCTTGAACACCGATGTCCTTCCGGTTACAGCCGCCTTCCGCCCGTCACCGAGCCATGTCAGGTTCCACTTCAGAGGTCACCCCGCGCTCTGGAGCCGCACCAGACGGAACGCGGGGGGCGTGATTAGCTAATGCAGCAGGTGCGGCGCCGGGGCGCACCGGCGCTGTTCCCATAGTAACGGGCACCTCTGGTTTGCAGGGAGCGACCTGCCCCTCGATCCAGAAGATGCTGGTCTCTCCGGCAGCACCGGCACAAAACGCCGGCACCCGGGGGACTGCCACCGCACGCGGCACCGGCTCCATGGGGGTCGGTGGGGGGACGGCGGGCACCTGCTCCCTGGGCTGGCAGGGCCACGCCCCGGCCACGCCCACCACAGGCCACGTGCCCCCGGGCCCCACGTGCAGGGTGTGTGCACACCCCTCAGGGTCACCCACGTCCCCGCCCGATGTGGACCACGCCCGGGCGCTGTGCACACAGGCAGCTCCGCCAGAGCCCTCGGCGGCCGAGCTGAGGCTGCCCTGCAGCCCGGAGAGGCCCCGGGGAAGTGCGGCATCTGCCGGAGCCAGGACCCCGGTGCCCCCGTCACTGCGGAGCTGCCCGCTGAGGACTCGGGGGTTGGGGGTGGGAGGCTGGACGGCCGGGCCTGCCGCCGGAGGCCAGCTCGCTGGCAGGCAGTGGCTGACCGGTCCCCCCCCGCAGGTGGGCATCGCGCTGCACTACTGCACGCTCTGCGCCATGCTGTGGATCGCCGTGGCCGCCCGGAACATCTACAAGCAGGTGACCAGGAAGGCGCCGCCGTGCCCGGGCGCAGACCGGCCGCCGTACTCCCGGCAGCCCCTGCTCAGGTACCCAGGCGCACGCGGGACCCCCCGGCCCCCCGGGCTCCCGGGGCCCCAGCCCTGCACCCACGATGGGGGTGTCGGCCGAGTGGCTCACGGGAGAACTCGGGGCCCGAGGACGAGGTAGCCGGGGGCTGGGGGATTCCAGGGGGTCTTGGGGCCTGCGTGTCTGTCCAGGGCTGCTGAGCTCCGTGCCGTGGGGGGCCCGTGGTGCAGAATGCTCCGGGCACTGGGACAGGGTGGGGAGGGTCTTCAGTGGCCTGGGTTATACGTGGGTCTCTGAGTTAAGACTCCTGCTTGTTAGCCGGGGAAACCGAGGCAGCACAGTGGCTCGAGTTGCTGTTTCAAGGAGACGGGCCCTGGGCCCTTCATCTGGGGCTCACGGCGGCTTTGGGACAGGGGCCCGGCTCCAGGCAGGCGCCCGGTTACGTTCTCAGGCCGGGTGGCCCTGGGGTGCCCGGGTGGTCCCGTGAGGGGAAGCCGCTACTGCTGCCACAGTGAAGGTCGGGGACGTGGGCGCCTCGCCCCTAGGGCTGGGCTCGGTCTGGCTCTGACCTTGGAGGGCTCTCTGCCCACACCCCCAGGGGCCCGACAGGCCCCGTTTGGAGGCAGACAACACAGGGCCCCGTGCTGCCTGCGGCACCGAGGTGACCCCCACCAGGGGGACCCTCACCTCATCTGGCTTTCAGCCGCGTGGCCCCTGGGGCCCACGGTGCGTGTGCGGGAGACAGGAGGCCGGGATGCGTTACCTTGTCTCCCCTCGGAGGCCCCAGGCCCCTGGGTATAAATGGCATCTCAGCGCCCACCCTGGTCTGCAGCCAGTGACCCAAGGGTTGCCTGGCTCTTTGAGGAATGAGACAGAGGCGGGGGCCACCGGGGTGCTGTCCTCTGCCACAACTTCACCAGCCCCCAGCCAGCCACGCGCCGGGGCTCCTGGGCCTGCAGACCTCCGAGTCCGCTGTTGGGACTTACAGCGGCTCCGGGGCCGTCTGGAGGTCACCTCCGCCACCACCACCTCTGTGTCCCGGAGGGCCTCACGTGGGCTGGGCGCGGGGTGCGTGGTGCCGAGACCCCTGCAGCTCCCTTGGTCTCCGGTGTGCGCCCCGCCCACAGGCGCAGACCCCCGGGGGTGGGGCAGGGGCGTCGGCTCAGGCCTGCACCACGGCCGCCCCTCCGCCGCTCTCTGCCCGGCCTGGGGCTGGAGGCCAACGTGCTGGGCCTGGGGTTTCCCCCAGGAGACCAGGGGCTGGCGGACAGGGGTCGGACGGGGACTTTCCTCCCAGGCCCTCCCGGCCCAGCAGCTACTCCTGCAGCTCAACCCAGAGGCGTCCTTATTCGGGACGGCTCCTCCCACCACCTGTTGCAGCACCCCCCACCCCCAATCTGCATCGTACATGCTTTTTGTTTTTTTAGAGATTTACTTATTTTTAGACAGAGAGGAAGGGAGGAAGAAAGAGAAGGAGAAAAACATCAAGGTGTGGTTGCGTCTCGCACGCCCCCTACTGGGGACCTGGCCGGCAACCCAGGCATGTGCCCCGACTGGGAATCGAACCAGCGACCCTTTGGTTGGCAGCCCATGTTCAATCCACTGAGCCACACCAGCCAGAGCCGTACATGCATTTAAAATGTCCAGGAATGGGCATCTTCTGCGCCTGACCTGAGCGGGGTGTGGACGGAGTGTCAGACTGAACCCTGTGTTCCGAGTGCGGGTGACCGGCAGACCTGGCTGCCGCTGTGGGGGGTCCCGGGACTGGGCCCAGAAGGATCCGACCTGGGTCCGCTCCCTCTGCCAGGGAGGGGCCCTGGGGCCGTGACACAGAGCAGAGCCCAGAGGCCCCAGGACGCACTGAGATTGGGGGTTACAATACTCACAGGGAGGGGGTCCCCGGGTGCCACGTGGGGCGCCTCTGGGCCGCTGGCGCCAGGGAACATCACCGGGCATTGGGAAGCAAACTGGGCAGCAGGAGCGAGGGCGAGGCCAGAGGCCGGGCCTGCTGCGGGGTCTCTGTGGGAGGGGCGGCAGGGGTCCGTGGACCCACGGGGCACCTTTGCCGCGGGGGCGTCCACACAGGGCCTGCCCCGCCCTCCCGCAGGAAAGCCACTCAGGGTGTCTGACAGTGGGGGGGGCAGAGGGGGCGGGAGCGGGGACTAGCCACGGGCATCCCTGCCAGCTGGGCCGGCACGGCGGCGGGTGCTGCTTGGCCAGGGCCCCCCACCTTGGCCCCGGATGCGGCGCTGTGCTCGGGGACCCTGCTGGGTTCGGGGGCGGTGAGTGGCCTCCTGCTGTCCGCAGGCTCTACCTCGTCAGCGGCGGTGTTCCCTTCGTCATCTGCGGGGTCACGGCCGCCACCAACATCAAGAATTACGGCCCGGAGGATGAGGACGCAGCGTAGTGAGTACAAGCACTGGGGGGAGGTGGACCCCAGGAGGGGGAGGGGGCCCCAGAGCGCCTCCCGGGTCCAGTTGCCCAGACCTCAGGGTGCCCAGCAGTCACGGCCACTCGGGGACGACAGACTGAAACAGCCCAGAAATGAGGCCGCGCAGGGAGGGTCCGGCGCCACCTCGTGACTGTCCCCGGGCGTCCCTCTGCTCACAGAGCGCGGTCTGGGTGTCCAAAGCTGTCCCCCTCCCTGACAGACTCCGTTCCCCCGCCTCCTTCCCTGGGCACTGGGGGCTGGCTCTGTGGGGGTGGGGGCCCGGGGACCAGCGGCACCGGGCAGGAGGGCCCAGGCCAGCAGAAGCTGAGTCAGACCCCCAGGACGCCTGCCCCCGGCTGCACCGCCCCGGACACTTCCCAGCACCCGCCGGTCCTCGAGCCAAGGAGCACCAATGGCCCTGGTGGGCAGGCCTCTTGCTCGTCTCCTGACCATGAGGCCGCACGTTGTCCACACCACACAGTGACTTCCACGGGCACCTCAGGGTGCAGGCGGCACAGTCAGCACCGGGCACCCTCCCCACAGCCCCTTCAAAGGCCAGTCTCACCCCCACACTCACAGCAGTGCCCTCCCCAGGCCCTCGGGGCCCCTGAGCTGCCCCCCGCCCCCATCACTGGCTCCTTCTCCGCCCTCACCCTGCGCCCAGGACCCACAGCTGTTCCCTCCGCGGCTCGCCGCCCCCCCCCCCGCCGTCCCGGGGCCCAGCGGGGGAGGGGCAGAGGGACACGAGAAAAGCAGCGGCGCAGAGAGTGGCCGGCACAGGACACGGCGGCGTCCCCTGTGCGCCCACACCCCGGGCCCCTGCTTGCTCTGACCCGGTGACTCGGTGCCAGTGTCACCGCTGCAGGCCTCGCTGTTGGTGCCCCCGTCACACCTGCACTCGCCCTGCGGGGCGTCCTCCGCCCCCGAGCTCAGGGGCGGGGCCCCCGTCCCCACCGGGCGCCCTCCACGGCGTGGCCCCCACGCTGACCGGCTCTCCCCCCGCAGCTGCTGGATGGCCTGGGAGCCCAGCCTGGGCGCGTTCTACGGGCCGGCGGCCTTCATCGCGCTCGTCGCCTGCGTGCACTTCCTGGGCGCCCACGTGCAGCTGCGGCGCCACCCTGAGCGCCGGCACGAGCTCAGGGGGCGGGCGGAGGAGCAGCACCGGCCGCCGGGGCCGGAGGCCGCCCCCAGCCCCCGGGCGCCCCCGGGGCGGCCGCCCGCCTCGCTGCTGCAGAACGAGCACTCCCTGGAGGCCCAGCTGCGGGCGGCCGCCTTCACGCTGCTCCTGTTCGCGGCCACCTGGGCCTTCGGGGCGCTGGCCGTGTCCCAGGGCCCCTTCCTGGACCTGGTCTTCAGCTGCCTCTACGGCGCCTTCTGCGTGACGCTGGGGCTGTTTGTGCTCATCCACCACTGCGCCAAGCGGGACGACGTGTGGCACTGCTGGTGGTCCTGCTGCCCCGCCCGCCGGGGCGCCCGCCCCGCCCTGGACGCCAACGGGGACGCCCTGGGGCGCGCCGCCTGCCTGCAGGACCTGCCCTGCCCCGGCCAGCCGCGGGGCTTCGGCCACCCCCCGGCCGGCCACTGCAAGATGACCAACCTGCAGGCCGCCCAGAGCCACGTCAGCTGCCTGTCGCCGGCCACGCCCTGCTGCGCCCAGAGGCACTGCGAGCAGCTGCTGCAGGACGCGGTCCACGCGCACGGGGAGGACCCCTGCGGCCACGACCCCTGCGGCCACGACCCCCGCCTGCACGGGTGCCTCCGGGGCAGGACGAGGCCGCACCACTTCAGCCGGCACCGCGCGGCCACGGCCGAGCAGGAGTACGCCTACCACATCCCGTCCAGCCTGGACGGCAGCCCCCGCAGCTCGGGCACGGAGGACAGCCCCCCCAGCTCGCTCGAGGGCCCCGCGGGGATGCACGGCCTGGCCTGCTGCGCCCAGGACGACCCCTTCCCCTTGGTCAGCCAGCCCGAGGGCAGCCGCGCCAGCCCCACCCTCTACGGCTGCGGCCCGCGGCCCGGCCGGGAGGGGGCCCGGGGCCCCACCCACTTCGAGATGCTCCGGCGGACACAGTCCCTGCCCTTCGGGGGGCCTGGCCCCAACGGGGTGCTCAAGGGCAGCCTGGGCGAGGCAGGGCCCTACGGCACCGACAGCACCGGCAACATCCGGACGGGGCCCTGGAGGAACGAGACGACCGTGTAGCGGGGGGGGGGGGCCGGCCCCTCCTCAGCGGGTGTCGGGGCAGAGCGGGGACCCTCTGCCTCCTGGGGGCCGGGGTTGGGGGTCCCCACGTAACCGACCCTCTCAGGGGTGGCTGGCAGCCCCCGCTGACCCCTCGCTGTGAAGGACTCCAGTGGGAACACACTTTGGGGGGGTGCCGCCTCCCCAACCCTGAGGCTGGACAAGCCGTCCACGCCCACAGCCACAGCTTTCCAGCTGCAGCCACAGCCCCCGGCCACCCAGCCACACGGCCACGGCAGTAGGCACCACGGATGTGTTCCAGTGTTCAGCGTGTGCGTTGAATTTTGTCCCGGCGGAGGGCAGCCTGCTGGTCAGTCTGGTGGGCTCCGGGCCTGGGGACCCCTGTCCGAGCCTGTGCCGGCGCCACGCCCACCCGCAGCACCCGTCCTGGGTGCAGCCCCCGCCCCGCAGGCCCGGGAGCCGCAGACAAAGGGGCGCCAGCTGGGCTCCGGGGGCAGGTCACCCTCAGGGGGGTCAGGGTCCAGGCTCTGCAAATGCCCCAAAGCCCTTAACGAAAACGGACTTCCAAAGCCAGCCCCGGTCAGGACTGGGGCCCGCTCCAACAGGGGCATCTGGGAAAAACGAGGCCCCCTGCCCCCGAAGCAGGAGGGGCTGGCATTCCCCCGAACATGTGGGCACAAGGCCTGGCTCAGAGGACGGAAGGGGCCGCAGGCCGCACCGGGGCAGCAGCCTGGACATCCAGACGGCCACCCTCCCTCCTCCTCCTGGAACCGACACATGCAGACACACGCAACACACCTGTACAGGTGCCACACGTGTGCACACGCGACCACCCCTCCCCTGCACACGTCACCACCACACACACGTGCACACAGTACCTCACACACAGGCAGAGCGGCTGGGTGTCCCGCGCTCGGCACGGCCACCGCGGCTGCTACTCGCGGCCGCTACTCGCGGCCCTGCTCTGCCGTCCAGGTGGCTGCGGTCACAGGGGAGGCACCTCCCTTCACACACACAGGGTGGGGGCGGGGGGCGCAGAGCAAGCGTGTCGGGCGGCCGGCTCCCACACTCGGGCTCGGAGCACAAGGAGCCTCACTTCCCGGGACCCCCCCACACCCCACAGTGGAGCTGTGACGAGTGCAGCGTCGGTGCGTGCCCCGTGCCCCGCGTGTCCTCACAGGTCGTCCTCACGGGTCAGCCCCACGGGCGACCGCTGGGCAGCTCCTGCCCCCGTCACCGCCCAGCCCCTCCGCCCGCCGCCGCGGCCGCCGCGCCCGAGACCCGATGCTGTGCCGTGTCCACGCTGCAGACGCAGAGCCGTGAGGCGAAATACAGTGTTTGCGTGGTTCGCCCGCGTGTGGCTGCTCAATGGCCCCCGTGTGAGTCTCTGAGCCCCGGGGCGGCCACCCCTGGGCGAGGCCTGCCCTGGGCCCTGGTGCTGGGGCGGGGCACTGCTCTCCCCTGTTCCGCAGCACCCCGCCACCCTCAGTGGTCCCGGCAGAACGGAGGGTGCCCCTCGTTACTCCAGCCAGAGTCACTGGGCCCCGAGAAAGTGACCTCGGGAGTGTGGCCTGGGCTCAGCCTCCGGGGCCCGGGGGGCCGCGCTGTGACCCCAGGCCTGTGAGGCTTCCGGAGCACAAAGACCGCAGGGCGGCTGCCCGCAGGCGCTCCTGGGGAAGGCGCTTCCGGAAGGGAGGGGCGCGGATGGAGCCCAGGCTCTCCGCCCCGCTCTCTGCCCTCGTTTGCCTGTGTGCACGGGTGCGGGTGGGGCGGTGTGCGAGTCGTGCGAGTGCACGAGTGTGCAACGAGAGCGAGGACACAGAGAAGAGCATGTGTGTGGGGCCACACAGCTGTGCATACTGGAGCCCGTGCACGCGTGTGTTAGGGTGTGACTGGGGTGTGCATGTTTGTGTGCATGTGTTTCACCTGTGTGGGCATGCACATGTTTACACAAGCCATGTGTGCATTCATGTGTCATCCATGTGCACACTTTGTGTGTGTTTGTGTACGTGAGTGTGTATGTGCTCTTCAGCGGGCTGGGCGGTCGCTGCTGAGAGCTCTGGCCACTCGGGGGCGGGCAGAGCAGGAGGAGGCTCGAGTGGGAGGTGCGCCCCTCAGACGTGACGCTCGGCCACCGCCTTCATCTCATGGCAGCGGGCTGGGGATTGGGGGGCGATGGGGTGAGCCCCCACCCCAAGCTCCACGGTGCCGGCTGCCGTGGGCCAGAGGGAGAGGGTGCTGGATGGAGCTGAGACAGGCAGACGTGTGTGACAGAGGCAGGCCACCCGAGGGACAGTCCTCCCAGGTGCCAGGCAGCAACCCCTCCAGGCTGTGGACCCAAAGGCCTTAACCCGACAGCACAGAGAAGACCACGACCGTCTGAGGACCAGCAGCCCCCAGGCCTGGACAGGGCAGCGGACCAGGAGGGTGCACTGGGGGGGCCTCTCCAGAGCTCCTCTGGGTAACAGCACCCACAGTGCTCCTCCTCCTCCCTGCTGCCCTCATGCCTACCAAGTGTCACCACGGGTGTCAGCCCTGCGGTGTCCTCCCGGGGTGTCCCCGGGCATGGCCGGATGCTGCCGTGTCCCCGACCCCGTGCAGGGCGGGTCCCACCCCGAGCGATACTGGAAATTCACTCGTCTCCAGCTGCATCATGTCAAGGCTCCCTCTCTCAGGTGCCAGGTTCCTCCGCACCCACAGCTCCGGCCACACCCACAGCCCTGGCCACACCCACAGCTCCGGCCACACCCACACACGCCTTTGAGGGGCAGCCTGTGGAGCCGCCTGTGGAGCCATCTGTGGTCCGCGGTCCTGGCATCAGAGCGAGGGGCGGGGCGGTGAGGGAGGGAGCCTCCCCACCCGTCCCCAGCTGGGCTCAGCGGTGCGCTCAGGTCAGGGCCACGGGGTCCGGGGTCGACAGGCCCCTCTCCAGCCCTGCCCAGGCCGCCCCTCTCGGACAGATTCTTGTGGGGTAGGGGCCCCAGTCTCTCTCACGCTCCCCAGCAGTGGGAGGTCACATCTGGGGTCTTTGAGTGTTGCCCCTTCAGGTGTGTTACGTACGGAGCGGGGCAGCTGGCCTGGGCACCCCTTCATTCCCCAGGCCCTGTAAAGAAGCACCGAGGGTCCCCAGGAGGGCAGTGGGGGCCGTGCGAGGGGCTCGGGCCCGGGGTCGCGGGGCTGGTGGCGAGGGGCAGTGTGGGATGAGGCGCAAGCCCTGGCCCCTGCGTGCCCCCACCCCCGAGGGAGTGTGGCTCAGCTGCAGTCGGGGCGATCGCAATGGCAGGCGGGCAGCAGGTCCGCACCCCGAAGTGAGAGGAGCGGCCTGGTCCGGGCCAGCGGGAAAGCGGGGGCCGCACGGCGACCCCCGCAGAGAGGATGGCCGTGCCGGGGGCCTGGGCGCTCCGGTGCCGCGGGCTCACGGGCGGGTGCAGGCGGACGGCGCGAGGCCCCGGGGACCACGGGAGAGGCACGGGGCTGTTAGGACTGGGGGCCCAGACCCCCGAGGGTGGGGGGGCTGGCCCCACAGGTGCCGCGTCCCTGATGGGGGGTGACGAGGCTGGCTCTGGGAGGGGCTCCTCCCCCGCACTGAGACGGCGGGCAGGGCGGGACGGCCGGGGTGCAGAAACGGGGACACCCACCGAGGCTCCCCCGTGGCGGGCAGCCAGGGGTCCTCATCCGGGGTCCGCTCCGGTCTCCGTGAGCAGCAGCACCCCTCGCTTTACCCCGGGAGCGCAAAGGCGGCGTCACAGGGGCCTCCCCGTCCGTCACTGGGACACGTCTGAGTCGCTGACTCGGTCAGTGCCCCAGTCACTAAAGCCGACACGCGAGCCTGCCTGCGGCCAGAAGGTGCCATCGGGGTGTGCAGAGACTTCCCGGCATGGGCGCGTCGGAGCAGAGCCAAACTCGGGGTGAGGCCGGACGGCTGCCGGGAGTGGCATGAGCAGCGCCCGGGGCAGGGCCCCCGACGGGCACAGAACACCGTGTTTCTGAGCCTCGGTGAGTGCTCGGCGGTGGGCACCAGAACCGCGCTGGCGTGCGGCTCCTGAGCTTAGTCACCAGAGGGACCAACAGCTTCATCTCCAAGTGTCCATGCTTCCGCCACACCAGGTGTGACGTTTGATGCAATTATTTATATTTTGTGCTTTTTTTTTAATTTGGATGTCGGCTTCAAAACGTGCAAAGGGTTTGGCGGCTGTTCAAGTCGTTTTAGAGAAAGTGAGTGCCCAGGCTCTGTCCGCCTAGGGTCAGCCTGGCCAAGCCGAGGGGGCCCCTGGGGAGAGACGGGGCCCGGGGGACAAGACCAGCTCCTGGCAGTGCCCGACTGTGACAAGGGCCCGAGACCGGCATGGAGCAGGCTTGGCAGGAGGCCCTGCCCGTGCGGCGCTCCTGTCCGGGCCCCGGCCTGGAGAGAGGTCAGTGGACAGGTCAGGTCTGAACCACAGCGCCCTGTCCTGCGGAGGAGGAGAGGGGCGGGGCCTCTGCAGGGAGGGGGCGGGGCGGAGCGTGAGTGAGGCTGGCCAGCGAGACGGGTGAGAAGACCCCCTGCCAGGGCCCCTGGGACCCCTGCAGGATTCAGGCAGCACCTGAGGGAGGCCTCGGGAAGGAAGGGTGCCACAGGCGTGACCTGGGCACGCAGGGACCGTGCGGAGGCAGGCGCAGAGGCCGGCCCGGGGCCGTGCCAGGGAGGATTCAGCGCTGTCTGGAGCTGAGCTTGGAATTCCCGCCCAGTGGACGCCGGGGCCGCGCACACGTCTCGCTGCCCTGTCGGCTCTGGTTGCAGTGCCCTGTCCGCGGGGCCCCGACCTCGGGAGCCAGGCCCCCAGCCAACGGCTGTAATCGGCACCTGCTGCGCTGGAGGGCAAGGCCACCGGCTCCTTGGAGTGCAGCGGGCCGGTGCAGGGGCGCTCGGAAAGTCTCACGTGACTCCGCCAACAAGAAGACCCCGACCACCAACTCTGCCCCGAGGCAGGCGGGTGGGAGGAGCCGCGGGGCGCCCCGCCCCTGTCCCTGAGTGGCAGTCCCGCCCCTGCATCCAGGCTGCTGGGGCCAAGGCTGACTCGGCAGATGGCGGCGGCCCATCCGGTCTGCACTTTACCCAAACTGGGCGCGCCCTCTCCTGGAAGAGGCGCTGCATCCTCATGCCCAGGGGCACACGTAGTGTCACTCCTCCCTCAGGCATGACGTGACCTTTGCCTTGTCCCAGTCAGTCCTCGCCCTAAACCAGGGGCCTGCACGGCGACCCGAGAACCAGACAAAGCCCCAGGCCCTTCCCCATGAGGCCCTGCAGCAAGCACGCTGCTGGTGCCCAGACCCCCTCCCCAGCCCTGCGGCCAGGGTGCCCAGCACTGTGGACCCAGGGCCTGAGGACGGGGCGCGGCTGGAGTCCCAGAGTCGGGGGGCAGGGCCCGCCGGGGCTGTCAGCTGCCTCCTGCGTGCTGCCCTCAGAGAACTCAGGGTCCAACGGCCCGAGAAACACATCGGCGAGGTGTCTCTTCTCCGGGTCAGCGCCCCTGCCCCACCCCGTCCACCTGGGTGCTGCTCCCAGCCTGCAAATGCCCCACGCTGCGGGGAGGCCGCCCCCAACTTCTGCTTTGGTCGAGACGGGGCCCAGGGTCTGCGTTGCACACAAGACAGAGCTGCCCAGCCCCCACCGCCCGTCTGCTTCTCCGGCGACGTGGGGCCTCTCATATCCTCAGATGTCACGCCCCAGGGCCCCAAGCCACAGCGGCCTGACCCAAGCACAGAACGTTAAGGATTAGTGTCCCTGCCCGATGCCGGCTGACCCCCTCCCCTCCAGGCCGGCCACAGCCCCGCCTCGGTCAGGCAAGGAGCATTCATTCACGGAGCGCGGGCTGCAGGCCTGGCCAGGCGGGGCTGGGGGCACAGGGCTGGCCACCTCCAGGGAAACCTCACTCACAGCGCTGCTCTCAGAGGGGCGGGGGTCTGGTCTTCTGTCCCACACCCAGCGGCTGGCTGACCAGCTGCCGCTGAAGCTGTAACTGTCTGTCCCCACATAGCGTCCGTTGGACCCTTGCTCTGGCGAACGGGCTGGCCACCCTCCAGCTGCTCTACCAGGTCTCTGCCCACCCTGCCCACCTCACCTCTCCCTGCCGGCCCCGGGCACCTCGGCTGCCTCTGCCCCCGCGGGCACTGTGGCAGCTCCACCCCGGGCCTCTAGGGCGAGGCGGGCAGGGACCTGGCTGAGGGTCCACGCCCCGCATATCGCTGCCTTTGGGGTACGCCACGGGCCTCGGCCCCCTGCGCGCCTGGCTGAGCGCGGCCCCCGGCGGCGCCTCTGGGAACAGCACCCAGGCCATAGGCCTGGCCCCGCCCCCACGGGCCGCCCCTCCTCCGCGCATCCCCCCAGAAAGCGGCCAAGGTCCCCAAGGGAATCTAGCGCCCGCAAGAGTGGGCGCGGCCCGGCGAGCGTCAGGCCTCCCAGTGCGGCCCCAGGAGTGCCCGCTCCCAGCTCGGGCGACACTGCGGCAGACTCGCGGGCGGGGCGCACCGAGGGCTCAGCGGGCGGGGGCAGCGGGGGGCGGCGCAGGGCGCGTTGCCATGGCGCCGGGGCGCGCGTAGCCAGACCCGAGCGGAGCCAGCCTGGCAGACCCAAACGCAGAGGCCGCGGGAGGGCCCGGCGAGCCGGGCAGGGGCGCGTGCGGGGCCCGGAGCGCGCAGCCAGAGCGGGCCTAGGCCGGGCGCCGCCGGCGCGCTCGCAGGATGCAGGCCATGGACCCGGCCGCAGCGGATTTTTATGAGGAGGACGGCAAAGACCTGGACTTCTACGACTTTGAGCCGCTCCCCACTCTACCCGAGGACGAGGTGAGTCCCGGGCCCCACGGTGGGCCCCCCACCTTCCCTGGAGGAAGGTTCGGCGGAGAGTCCCCGGAGAGGGTGCCTCCCGCGGTAGGAGGACCCCCAGCTGGTCTCACCGCACCGCCCACCCCTGCCGGCCTTAAACGTTTTCTCCTGGGGGGGGGGGGCAGGGCTCCGTAATGCCTCCTGGGACGGCCGTGGGGGCGCCGTCGCTGAAGTTGAAGCTCTGCGAGGAGGGGGCTCCTCCCATCGGTGCTGGGCGGCCGCGTGCGGGGCGCGCCTGGGGGCATAAGCCCTGTTTCCTCTGTGCAGGGAGAGGTGCCTGCCCAGCCCCATGGGTCCGGCGGGGCTGTGGGGGAGCTGGGGGGACAGGGGCTGCGTCCTGCTCAGGGCGGGGCCCTCACGCAGAGTCGGAGTGAGCCCCTCCTCCCCGCAGGACGCACAGGGGTCTCACATGGGGTTTCTGGGCATCACTCTAGTCAGACGCTTGCAAGCGCGGGGGACGAACCAGCCCCCACTCGGTCTGGGTGGACCGCCCTCGCTCTGGCTCCCCTGTGGTGCCCCCAGGCTCTGGGTCAGAGGAATGAACTCCAGGGCTGTGAGCAAACCGGGCCCCTGTGCACGGGAGGTGGCCCCGGGGCTGCAGCCCCTCCCTGGAAGAAAGGCTCTCTGGTGTCCTGAGGCTGTCGGTCCTGGGCAGACAACCCTCCAGGCCTCTGGCAGGCAGGTGCCTGGGGCCCCGGGCTTCCCTGCCCACTGTTGAGGGCCGGGGCGGTGCGGCCGTTTGGACACCTTCCCTCTGCCCAGCGCTGGTGGAGACCCTCCACGTGCCCGTCTGAGGGAGCCAGGCTGGCCGGGCCTCCTGGGTGGAGAAGGGGCTCGTGGCCAGCAAGGCTGCGGTCGGTGCCCAGGGCTTCTGGCTCCCCGACTGCCCCCAAGCCTGCCCCTCTGCAGCTCAGGCCGCAGAAGCCCAGTCCTTCCTTCTGGGCAGCAGAGTCCGTCTCAGGGACCCCTGCTGGCTGGAGGGCCTGCAGGGCCGGTGTCCAGGGGCTGGAGCGGCCCCTCCTTTCCCCATGGTGACCTGGATTTGACGAGAGGAGCTGCAGGAAAGAGAGGCGAGGGAATAAATAAACCCTCGCCCATCTCCGAGGCTTTGATGGGCCTGTCCGGCCCCCCCGAGGACGCCTTCCAGGGTGTCTGTGAGATGAGTCGCATCCTGAACCGGCACAGCAGACGCAGGGCCGGCCGCCCACACTGACCGCCTCCTCTGTGCCGGGCGCACTGAGCAGGACCGGGGCCAAGGACACGGGGCAGGAGCCAGGACCAGACCTGAAGCTGCCACCCGGCCACAGCCTGCCCTCCCCCTGCACCCCGGCTCCTTCCCGCAGGGTGTCTGTGGTGCCCTCTGTGCACAGTGCACGGGGCCTGGGGTGCCCACTGTCCTGGGACCGAGGCCTCCAGGTGATGTGGGATGTCCCCGTGGCCCCACTGCTGAGCATGCAGCAGGAAGGTCCAAGGGACCCTTCTGCTCCCCCCCCAAGACAGACAGGCGCTGCTCTCCCAGGACAGGAGGCCGGTCCCCCGGGCCCAGGCCCTGGAGCAGGCACGGCCTGCTCCTGAGAGCCCACCGGCTTCCCCCGCACCCCCACACGCGGCTGGGTCGGCGTGACGGTTTTCAGTCTGCGTCAGGGCCACGTGAGTGCCTGCTCCAGCAGCATGCGGTCCGGCGGCAGCAGGAACGCCGTCCTGTGCAAGGTGAGGGAGGAGCCAGCCACGTGCCACCTGGGCAGCCCTGCTGACGGCGCCCCGGGAGCCGGGACGGTGGACACGGCAGCCCCAGGGAGGGACGGCCGGCACCAGACCCAGGACACGTACAAGCTCAGGGGACACAGGAGCCGGCCACTTACGTCAACGGGCTGTGCAGGGAGGTCCGGAAACAGCACCCTCTGGACCCCCAGCCGCCCCTGAGAAAACCCAGGTGGTCCGTGAGCGCAAGAAAACATGTCGGACTTCACTGGGACGGGGCGTGGAAAGCTCTCCTCTGCGGATGCCTCTCCACGGCGCCAGGTCGGCGAGACCCTCCTGGTGGGGGGGCCTGGGGGGGGCAGTCTGTGGACAGCAGCTGGGCGTTCCTTCCACACAAAGTGGAGGTGCCACAGCCTGCGTCCAGCACCGCCACGCTGCTGTGTGTCCTGTGGGTGCTGGCACGTGCCAGGACTCTGCTGGGGGCCCCCGGGGCAGGTGGTGAGGGGCTGGCAGCCAGGCTGGTCCCCGGTCACCTGCAGACAGCGAAGGAGGGGACGCCAGGGTCAGGCAGAGCAGCCGGTCAGGCGGGACAGTGGCTGCAGGCGAGGCAGGCACCAGACGTCGAGGGGCCGTGGGGCGGCAGGCTGGGGCGGGAAGGCGGCACCCCGGTTCAGGCCGGGGAGATGGGGCAGGGCCTCTCCTGGCCCCCAGCCTCCCCTGAGGGGTGAGAGGCATTCGGATCCTTCCCCAGCTGAGCGAGACCCCCCAGCACTGTGGGCAGCTGAGCAGCGGGCTGGGCTCGGGGAGCCCACGGCAGACGGGGACTTTGTCGCCCCTCGGAGGAGCGCACAGCTGGGAGCCTGGAGAGGAGGAGGGGGCACCCCCACTGGGCCCTGGAAGGTTCGCATGACGCCCGGAAATGAGCTCAGAGCAGCCGGCAGCTGGAGAGTCCAGGAGAGCGCTCCATGGGGCGGGGGGTGGGGGGGGTCATTGTTACCAGCTGGGGGCTCTTTGGGGCAAGCAGGCAGATGCCCAGCCAGGCTGTGGCACTCCCCAGGCCTGGGGGGTCTGGCAGCTGGGGGGACCTCCCCGCAGGCCTGGGGGCTGTTGACAGGCCTCAGCAGCGACTGGGTTTTGTGCTGGCGGGCCCCATGCCCAACCCCTGGGTCCCACAGAGCCCTGGCACAGAGTCCGTCCTTGCTGCAGCCAGACCAGCCCCGGGTGGGGAGCCGGCCCTGCCCAGGGCCCCAGGGACTGGCCAGCAGGGGGCAGCCCTGGGGAGCAGCCCCGCTGTGCCTGCCTCCCACCCAGGGTGGGCCAACTCTCTGCACAGCTGCCAGGTGGAGACCACCCTTCCCCACCCTGCAAGGAACAGGACTTGGGGGGTCCCACCCTGGCACCTACCCCACAGCCTGCCCAGGCACTGCCTCAATGAGGGTCAGCAAGGAGTGGGGCTCGAGGCCCCGGGGGGCCCAGGGATTGGGAGCGCTGCTCTCGGGGAGCCGGCAGCACCCCGGGCTCTGTTGGGGCTCATGTGGCAGCTGAACTCCACCCTCCTGTTATGGCCGTTGCTGGGTCTCAGAAGCAGTGACTTGTGACTCCAGGATGTCACCCCGTAAAGTCACGCAGAGAAGCCCCTGATTAGGTGCCCCCGCTGTGAACAGGGGCTGCAGGGCGGGCAGGGCCTGGGCCCGAGCAGGAAGTGAGCGGTGGGTCAGGAGTCATCCCCGTGGGCAGCGGCGGCCTGCACGCCCCTCTTGGCTGGGCACCCGTCGGCTGCTGTGTGAGCGGTGGGCTGCCGGCCGCAGGGCGCTGACCCAGGCTTGCGCTGTGGGCCAGCTTCGTCCTCCAGAAGCACAACCCGTGTGGCCTGTGCACTGTGCATTAGCGTGTGCCACGTGTGTGCAGCATATGTTTGTGTGGTATGCCGGCATGTGTTTCGTGGGTGGTGTCGTATGTGAGCGCCGCAGGTTCAGGTGCGCACACACGCCGTGCACACGTGGGGGTGCGGGCATGTGTCCGTGCTTCCTCACAGGGATCCGTCTCTGGGACCTGACCAGGGGCTTGCGGCTCCGGGGCTGCGGGTCCCTGTGGCCACGCCTTGAACCAGCTCCCACCAGCCGCCCTGCCCTCCTGCCCCCACCCCCACGCACGGAGCTGGAAGGGCATCGCTGAGCCCAGAGCCTGGCCCTGGTCCCCACTCCCACCACCCCCTTGGCCGACCCCAGAGGCTTAGCCAACGGGCACACCAGTCACTATTCTCTCTGCCTTCATGGGGTTAAGTCCCTTGTCCCCTGTCCCTGGAGTGGGGCCCCTGCCATGCCGGGGGGACATTCGAGGATGGGCGGGAGGAGCTGTTTAGGGCCTGACAGCCTGTCTGCTGGGATAGTCGCCCCAGGAGCTCCAGGGTGCAGGGGGAGCACCGGGTCTGCGGGGGGCTCGGCCCCACCTCTGCACCGACCCCCCGCCCATCCCCCTCTCCATCCCCCTCACAGGCCAAGTGCCCGGCTCCCTCAGGCCCCCCCAGACCCCCCCACGCAGTTCCTCCAGCCCGGCTCCCAGCCAGCCGCCTCGTCCAGCCTCCCTTCTGGGGACCAGGCCCAGGGACACGTGGACGAGCAGGGGAGGGCTGGGGTCCAAGGTGTCCAGTGTGTGTGAGACATTGTGTCTGCGTGCACGTGGGCACACTCGTGCTGGAGTGTGTGGGTGCCTGCTGGTATGTGTCTGCGGGTGTGGAGGGACGTGGCATGCACATGCCTGTCGGCGACACGGTCACAGCTGGGCTCTCCCAGGGGCAGGGCCCCGATCTGGGGAGTGACTTGCACAGGGGAGGGAGACCCCGGGGCCTGGCTGTGTCCCCCATGTGAACTGCCCGGAGGGAACTCCAGCGGCTCTGCAGCCAGCAGGCCACACGTGTGTCGCCACGTGTCCCACGGTTGTGCGGTGAGACCACACAGGTGTCAGCCTGTTACCAGCTCCCTGGGCACAGCTGCGCCCTCCTGGCGCGACTCCATCCCGTCTGATGTCTCACTCCTTGGCTCACAGCCCGGGGAGGGGGTGCCCCACGTGCCGGGCCCTGTGTGGTCGGGGATGTCACAGCAAGTGGTGGCCCCTCCAGGGGCCGCGGGGCAGAGGCCCAGGTCCCAGCGCAGGTGTGAACACCTGTGCCCAGTTGCCCCTCCTCTCTCTAAACACCCTGGGCTGCCCGCATCCGGACACCGTAGGGGGCTTTCCGCTGTCCTTTCTCCGTAAAGGCTCGCCAGAGCCCGGCCCTGACGCAGGGTCAGCCTGGAGGCCGGGGCTCCCTGGGGTGGGGCCCATCCCCGCGGGCGTCAGCCAGGCCTGTGTCGGCAGGAGAACGTGACCCTGGCCGACATCCTCTCCCTGCGGGACAGCGGCCTCAGCGAGCAGGAGGCCTGGGCCGTGTGCCTGGAGTGCAGCCTGTCCATGCGCAGCGTCGCCCGCGCCGCCATCTTCCAGACGCTCTGCATCACGCCCGACACCCTGGCCTTCAACACCAGTGGCAACGTGTGCTTCATGGAGCAGCTCAGCGGTGAGGCCGGGCGCCGGCCCCTCTAAGGACGGGGGGGGCCCTGCAGCGAGTGGGTACGGGGCTGCCCCCCACCCAGGAGGGCTCTGAGGCCTTCGGCTCCCTCCTCCTCCTCGGGGAAGACGGCCCCCATTCTTCCTCTGTGGACCCACCTTCCCACACTTGCCGGGCGGGTGGCAGCTTCTGCTCAGGGACAGGGCGGAGAAGGGGCAGGAGGCAGAGTCGAGTCCTGGAGAGCCCGGGGCTGGGGTCTGCCCCCCCCACCCCCGGCACCACCGCCTCCTCCCCACAGGCATCGTGGGCACCTGATCTCAGCGTCTCCCCTTTCCCTCCCCAGACGACCCCGAGGGGGCCTTTGTGCCCCCAGAGTTCGACGTGACTGGGAACACCTTTGAGGTAAGTGGCAGCCAGTGGGCCGTGACGGGGTGGGGGGGGGTGCGGCCAGCGGCGGGGGGACCGGCAAGGGCTGCGGTGGGGGTGTCCCTGCGCAGCTGCCCGTGGGCGCCCCACCCTGTCACTCCCTCGGGCAGGCGGCTCCGGCTCCCGTGACGGCCTGGCGTGTGGAGGCGTGTGTCTTCACAGTCGTGTGTGTGTGTGTGTGTGTTTTCTAAGTGTGAGTTTTCTCCATTCAACCCGTTACAAGTGCCTGAAATTAGCAGTGGCGGCTGGCGGGAACTGCCGTGTCTCCGAGGACTAGCAGGTGGGTGGCAGCCTGCAGACACTGGTCCACGAGTGACCGGCGGCCACCCCGACGCGCTCTGGAGGTCACACCCGGGCTGCGGCCCGTGGGAGGCCACTGCTCGGCTGAGGGGACCCTGGACGCTCGCTCGAGCGACACCTCGCTGTGGGCTGGTCTGCATCTCCCTGGCGACGGGCGACGCTGGGCATCTTCTCACGCGCCTGTTGGCCGGCTGCGGGGGTTTTTGGAAAGACGTGTGTTCGGTTCCGCTGCCCATGTTTCGATCAGGGTTGTATCGCGGGTGAGCTGTGCGAGGTCCCTGCAGCCGCTGGACCTCCACCGCCCGGGAGAGTCTCGGCCTGCGAGCGCTGTCTTCCGCTCCGGAGGCCGCGCTTCCGTCCCGGTCTTTCTGTGCAGCTGCTGGTGGGACGCGGTTCTCCTCCCGGTGCTGGTTCTCCTCCGGCACTCGGTGCTGTTTGTGATGCCGTGGTGGATGGGGCTGTTTCTTGTATTTCTTCTCCAGGTGTTTCGCTGTCGGCCGACGTTGCGTTCTGAAGTTTCACTGAGTTCGCTGACGAGTCCTAGCGGGCTGGGGTGGCAGGTGTTCGGGACGCTCTGGGTGTGGCCGTGTCGCCTGCACACAGAGACGGTTTCACCTCTTCCTGCCTCACGGGGACTTGCTCCTTCCCGCCTGGCTTCTCCGGCGGGGACTTCCCATGGGGGGCGGGGCGGGAGGCAGGGGGCCAGCTCCGGCTGGTCCTGGACGAGAGGCCTCCCACGTCGTCTGTGCTCTGGGGTGACGAGGGCTCCACTCCTTCCCGTGCCCGTCTGGGGGGACGTCTCGTCACGAGAGGGTGCCGGACTCTCTGGTGCTTTCCCGCATCTTCCGAGATGACCCGAGACTCGCAGGCTCCCCACTCGGCGTGCGCCACGCTGGCGGATCTGCGGTGCGGTGCGGTCCCGTGTCCTGGCACCAGCCCCCCTTGACCCGCAGGAGCTTTCTAACACACGCGCGACTCTGGTTTGCTCACACCTTGTTGAGAATTTACGCACTCACAGCCGTCGGGGACATCAGTCTTTTCTGAGTTGTGGTGGCCCGGTCTGGCTCTGGTGAGGAGGGGAGGGGAGGTAGCACCAGCCTCGTGAAGTGAGTGAGGGAGGGCGCCTCCCTCGCCAGGTTTCCGGAAGAATCTGAGAAGTACTGGCGTGAGTCTTCTCTGAGTAGCTGGCAGAACTGACCAGGGAAGCCATCTGGCCCTGGGCCGCCCTGTGTGGGCCAGCATTTGGTCGGTGACTCGGGCCCCGGCCGCGGGGTGGTCTGTCGGCTTGCCCTTGGGACTCGGTCTTGCCGGGCTGCGTGTTTCTTGGAATTTATCTGTTGCTTCTGGGTCGTCCAGGTTGCCCGTGTGCCTGTGTCCACGGTGTCTCCCACGACCCTCTGTATTTCTGCGGAATGAGTTGTGATGTTTCTTCTTCTGTTTCTGATTTTGTTTATCTGTGCTCTGTTTTTCCACGTCAGTCCAGACAAAGGGTCCGCAGCCAGGACCCAGGTCTGTCCGCCTCCCACCTGCCGCCCAGGTGGGCGTCACCGCCGCCAGGTCCCCCGTGTGTGGTGCTGGGTCCCTCGGCCGCCACCGCGGCGCTCTGTCCGCGGCAGACGCCACCCTGTGGCCCCGGGGCTGCTCCCCGGCGACGTCTGTCTTGCGACGCCCTGAGTATTTCCTTTACTTCGTAAGATGTCGGCTTCCCAACATTCTGCAGCGTTGGTGCAGTCAGGACAGAACTCCGGCCGTTTTCGGTTTGCTGTTTGGGTGGGAATGGGGGGAGCTGTATTTGGGGTTTTTTTTTTAATCTGACAAATGTGAAAATAGACTGTCTGGGAAAAATAAACAGCTGAAGGCTGGCTCGTCCTCCCACCGTTCTGTGAAGTCACCGCAGCAGCCGAGTCTGGACAGAGGGGGAGACGCGAGGAACAGTGCGGCAGGGGGCGGGGCCGAGAGCAGGGCCGGGTTCGGGGCGCAGGGGTGGGGTTCCTCTCCAGACACCAGTGTCCAGCGTGCACACAGATTTCCAGTGGATTCGATCTTCAGACGCTCACAAACTTTGAAAATATCAGAAGCAGAAGAAAGCTGGTTTTATCGTCGTGGGGTGGGGAAGGGCGTTCTAAGAAGATACCGAAGAAAATACCTGATTTCCCAAGTTCAACATTGAAATTTCTGAGTGTCCAAAGACACACGAACAAAGCTACAAGACAGGGGACAGGCGGAGGGACCGGGGGCCAGCCCCCGCTGCGCCCAGAGCCGGCGAACCGGCCAAGCCCGCGGGTGGACATCAAGGGGTCGAGAGGGCGAGCAGAGGAGAGGAGAGCGTCCAGTCCCGCCGGTGACGACACGCACACCGGCAGCTGGAGGCCGCGAGGCGCACGCACCCGGCGGCAGGTCTGCGCCCGCGGGTCGGGCCGGAGGAGCGCATCAGCGTCATCGGGCCATCGTGGGTGGACCCAGACCCGGCGACGCACTGCTGGGACGGGGCCCCTGGTGACGTGACGCGCTGCACACGGACTCCAGCGGGGCCCCCGGCCCGCCGGTCACAACGGCACACGTTGTGGGGATGCCCTGAGTGGGGAGCACCAGCGCACAGGGTGTGGACCCCACAGGCCCGCTGCTGAGACAGAGTAGGGACAGGTCTGCAGAGGGGCTCTCGGCAGGGGCCAGCGCCAACCAGCCGGTCCTGCAGAGGGCTGGTCGTCCTCGGCTGGACAGCAGGTGGAGAGCTGGGCCCGGACTGTCCTCGGACAAGGCCGCCCAGGGCGAGCGCTGGCCGCCGGGACCTCACCACAGTCACGCTGGGTCTGGCCCCAGAGGGCGGGCGGCCGTGGGCCAGAGGGGGCGCCAAGGGGCGGGAGTGGCGGACTGAGCCAGGGAAGGGAGCACCGGGCAGGGCGGCGGGCAGCCCAGCCCTCGGTCAGGGCCCAGGCCTCTGCTGTGTGTGGTGTGACCGGCCCTTCGGGAGCCACGCGGCCCAGGGCCCTCGCCTCCCAGCCTGGCCGTGTGGCCCCGGGCAGGTCTCTGAACCTCTCTGGGCTCAGCTTCCTGTTGATAAAGTGGGAAGGCAGGGTGGGGTGGGGGCAGGGCGCCGTGCGCGTGTTGTGAGGCAGCGCCCCTCCCCCGCACAGTCTGTTCCGGCCTGCTCAGCCCGAAGAGTCCACACTCGCGTGCACCCCACTTTCAAACTGAGAGACCCCCTCTTTCCTCTGGTTCATGCCTGGTTTTAAAGACCAGAGCACAGAAAGACATGCAAAGTCGCTGCCTTCGGAGACGCAGCACCATCAGGGCAGGGCGCCCAGGGGCCTGTGCCCGGGAGGGTCGGGGCTGCGGGCTGGCGCAGCGGGCCCCCGGGGCGTGGCTCAGCGCCAGGACAGTCGCCGCAGGGGGGCAGGCGGCCGTAAGGAGCGGGCGTGGTCCCCAGACACGTGCGCCCGGCCTGGGGACAGCGGCCGTGGGGGCAGGAGCACAGGCCCGCGGACTCACGGGCTCTCCGGGGCCGCAGGCACACATCTACTCCCTGGGGGCCACGCTGAAGGCGGCTCTCGAGTACGTGGCGGAGCCGGAGCCCAGGCTGAGCCGCGACCTAGAGGCGCTGCTGGACCAGATGCAGGCGGAGGACCCCCGGGACCGGCCGGACCTCGAGGTAACTCGCCGGCAGTCCCCTCGTCTCAGCCCACAGGCTGAGCCCCGACGCCCTCCTTGCGGCCCGATGCCTTGGACCGCGCGCACGCGCTCCCCCGCGCACACGCACGCTGCGCACGCGCTCGCCCGCGCCCGCCCACGCACACGCACGCTGCGCACGCGCTCGCCCGCGCCCGCGCACGCACTGGGCCCTCCTCTGCCCCGCCCCGCGTCACTCGGGCTCCGCCCTGGGATTTGGTGGCACCGCATCTCGTTTAAATGACAACTTGGTTTTTTTACACGTTCTGTGGAGAAGCGGTCTGGCCGGTAACTCTCACGGGCTCAACAGCCCCCCGATTTTCTGTCGTCCCATACGCGCTGCTTTGCATATCGGAGAGAGGGCGTGGGGGCGGGCGGGCGGGCCCCCGAGTGACGCACCGGTGTGTGCAGAGCGTCATCGCGCTGTGCGAGGAGAAGATGCAGCTCGCGTCCTCCTGCCGCCTGTGCCGCAGCCTCTCGGCCGTCGGGAGGCGAGTGCTCTCCATCGAGTCCTTCGGAGCGTTCCAAGGTGAGCACGCCGCACACGCGCCCACACGCGCTCCCAGGTGTACGTCACACACCCACATGTGCACATAAATGTGCACTGACATTAACCTGGGTCACACGTTTGTGCAAGCTGTACACACCCATTGGCACTGCACCCTCACCCACAAGCACCGCGCCCGCACCACACACGATGGGCCCATGTGCAGGAGACTCGCGACCTGCAGACGCCGCCGGCAGAGGCGAGAACCAAGGTCGAGTCGAGAAGCGGCTGGCCAGGCACGGGGCTGCTTGCCTGGCTCGGCCACCCTGCGCATCCCGGCCCGGGGACTGGCTGGGACCGTTCCCGCCGTGTCAGGTGGCACACCACTTCCCCGCCGCATAGGCTGTCGCTGTGGTGTCTGGGTTTCCACGGCTCTCGTGGGACTCGGCTCAGATCGGGTTCTGAACAAAGGCCAGCGTCTGCTCTGCCGGTGCCTGTGGGGGAGGGGCGCATGGGGTCGGCCCTGGTCGCCTGTTTGGGTGCAGCAGCGCTGGCTGGGCTGTGCTGCTCCAGCAGAGCAGGGGGAAGGGTCCCCGTGGGTGGGGGGCGGGGGCCGCATGTCTGGCAGTCCTCAGGGAGACAGCGAGTGTGGAGGCTGCCACCAGGGCGGGTGGGGCCCAGGCGACAGTTCGTGCTTCCTGTGGGGAGTCTCACTGGAGTCCTCGAAATAAAACTCGATGTGCTTTTTGGACGAGATAATTAGACGGGCCTCAGCTGCCCCCACAGGGAGCTGGCCTGGCCCGGGGGACCGGGCTGCCTCTTAATTAGCCGGGATTATGTGATTAACGAGGCAGCGAGACGTCTCTGGGCCAGCGTGTGACCGGTGGGGGTGCGGGTCTTGCAGGAGCCCCTTCAGAGGTGGCCGTGGTAGGGAGGAGGCAGCTGGTGGCCGGGGGGGGGGGCGGGTGTCGGTGGCTGTCCTGGGCTGCACCCCTGGCTGGAGGTCATGACCCGTCCTGCTTCTGTCCAGACGTCAGCGAGAGCACCTGGAGGGGGAGACCGGCTCCGAGAAGCCTGGGGCCCAAGAGGCAGCCTGGGGACCACAGCCCTGGCCCGGAGGCCCCCCTCGCCCCTCAGGGCCGGTCCCAGGCCCCCGAGTGCGACCCCGACCCCGGGGCCCTGCCCTCCAAGCCTCCACTGTCGCCCCCCGTGAAAAACGGAGAGAGCCACAGCCAGGGGGCGCTGGCCAGCCTCCTCCTGGACGCCCAGCGCCCCGCAGAGAGGGGCCGCCTGCGGAAAGTGCAGACGGTCCCCCGGCTCCTGCCCGAGGGCCCCGAGGCCAGTGCCCTCTGCCCGCCGCTGACCAGCCTGAAAAACCAGCCGCCGACGTCGGAGTTCTTCCTGCCGGACCCCCAGAAAGCCTTCCCTGAGGGGAAAAATGGCCTCTCCAGCCTCAAGGCCCAGCCCAAGCCCAGGCTGTGGCCGGAGCAGGAGCCTGAACACCAGCGGGAGGGGGCTCGAGGGGTGGGTCACGGCCGGGGCCCTGTGGAGGAAGGCCGCCCACCCCACGCTGAGGACCCCGAAGATGCCAGCCGAGACCCAGGGGCACTGGGGGCCGATGAGCAGACTCCCGGGGGAGCCGGGCAGCCGGGAGGTGCAGCCACGGAGCAGGTGGGTGACGGCGTGTCCCGAGGGGCCTGTGGCCGGGGAGGGTCCCCCAGGCTTGATGCTGCCCCTTCGTCGACAGGGAGGGACAGGGAACTCTGTTAGGAGCGCATTCTGGGAGTTGGGGGTGTGCTTAGAGTCCCGGCGGGCACTCGGAGTGGCCCTCTGTGGCCGAGGACACCGGGCAGAACCCAGCTGAACTCGCTCTCCTGCCCGGCTCCGGACAAGTCACCCCTGAAGCTCCGTGTCCCCATGAGCTGCTGGGGATGGCACCGGGCCCGGCCCCACGGGTGGCACGGAACCCTCATTCCCACTGGGCTTTGCCGACCCAAGGGCCGGGGGCAAAGCCTGTGGTTTCCATTCTCATTCACACCGGACACGACCCGAGGGTGACTTGTGAGGAAGGTGTAGTGACCCTAAAACAAAGTCCACCCTGGCGGCCCCGCGCTGGGTGTGCTTCCCGTCTCGGCTGCCCCCTGAGCCTAGCCTCCTCCGACACATTTTCCTCCGTGGCCGTCAGTGGTCCGCGGGCGCTGCTGCTACCGCCACCCCTACCTGTCGTGGCCGCCGCCGCCCGGAGGAGGGCTGTGGGCCCCAGGGCAGCTGTTTTTCCCGTGCCCACTCTGGACCCAGGGCCCCGTCTCCGCACCCTCCCAGCACCCGCTGACTCGATGTGGGGGCGTTGGTTCCCAGCAGGTTTGTCGGGGTGGGGGTCGCGTGGGAGGCACCCCCCCCCGAGTCTGAAGCTGTTCTTGCCTGTCCCCCCCAGGGCGTCTCCCTGCAGGACCTCCTGACGCAGCTGGGCCGGCCCTTCAGGGACTACGAGCTGTGGGCCCTGGCCCACGCCTGCCTCGGCGCGCTGCGCACCTACCGCCGGCACCCAGGTGACACGCGCCGTGTGGCCCTTGTCCCGCCCTGTGGGCCGCGTGGGCGCAGCATCCGCACCGTGACCGGGGTGGGGGGGGCCCTGCGGGGCGTCTGCTCTGGGCTCGGGACCGAGGGGGTCGGGACCGAGGGGGTCGAGGCCGCAGGGGCCACACCCTCTGAACCGGGGACGCTGTCCCCAGTAGGGGACGTGGCCTGGCTGGGGGAGGGGCCTGGATGTCCCACTGCTCTGTGACCCCCAAGCGTGGCCTGGGGGACGCTGTGCCGGGTCCACGGCCCGTCTGCGGTGCCAGCGGGTCGTGGGGACAGGGCACATGTGCCCTCCAGCTGCACTTGGGGGTCACAGTCCCAGGCCTTCGGGGTCCAGCTGCCCCCCATCCCCCGCCACTTCCCTCACACGTGTCTCATTTCCTGCTCCTTGTGCCCCAGTAGCAGCTCTGGGCCGGGTGGGGGTGGGGTGGCTCAGGGTCCCTGGGTCCCGTCCCTCTGGCCGCCTGCCAGGTGCCTCTGGGGAGCGGAGGAGGCCGAGCCAGGGCCCCCTTTGCTGCATCCAGCAAGGGACCCAGCATCCTTGCGTCCCCTGGGATGACCCAGGGGCCCTTGGGTGGCAAGGGGGCCACCTCCCCCGGCCACATCCCTGCAGGGCTCCGGGGAGCAGGTCCCCGCAGCGAGCCCACCGCCCTGACCGCACCTTCCGCTGCAGCCTGCCTGTGTCCGGACTCCGTGCTGGTGGCCGAGGACGGGGCCGTGCTCTTCGGGCCGCCTCCCGCTGACGGTGGGTCTGCGGGTGTGGGCTCACCCTGGCTGCGCCCCCTGTCAGCCACCGAGTGCAAAGGGAGCTCAGCGGGGTTCGGGGTTCTCTCTCGCAGGTGCTCCCGACTCCTTCTTCCTGGCCCCTGAGGTTGCAGAGCAGAAGCCAGTGACTGAAAAGGTGCCTGACCCCCCCGACACGTGCCTTCCGGTGGCCTCCTCCGTGCCCCTCCCCGCTGCACCCGTCCCCCCTCGGTGATGCCACCCCCCACCGTCCAGAGAGCGGGGGGCGGGGACACAGCCTCCGGCTCCGAGGGGCCCTGGGGGCCCCAGTGCAGCACATGCGTCCACACCCCAGCTCGGCCTGGCCTGGGCAGCCCCCCCCCGTACCACCCCCCGCCCTCAGGCACCTCCCTGGCCCAGCCTGGCCCTGGCTGTTTCATCCCCAGAGGGGACTTCGGTGGGGACGGCCCCGGGCAATGAGCGCTGACCTGTCAGAACCTACTGCTGAAATCTCAGGGATAGCTGCACTTGGGTTTTTTTCCTATTTTTGTTTTTAAGATTTAATTTACTTTCAGAGAGAGGGGAAGGGAGGAAGAAAGGGAGGGAGAGAAACATCAGTGTGTGGTTGCCTCTCATATGCCTCCTACTACAGGCCTGGCCCACCACCCAGGCCTGTGCCCCGACTGGGAATCGAACCAGCGACCCTTCAGTTCGCAGGCCGGCACTCAGTCCACTGAGCCACACCAGCCAGGGCTGCACTTGTTAAATGGTACAACTTACAATCAGATGAACCACATTCAAAACCAAGGCAGAACTCCCACTTCCGAGACACCACTCCCCAGCTGCCCCCTCCACAGCACCCCTGGAGCCCCCTGGTGGTCCCTAAAACCAGGAGGAGACGATGGGGGGCGGGTGGAGAGCAGCGCCTGCTGGGGAGGGCGCAGCAGGGAGCGCCCTGGGTTCCCTTCCCCTCGCCGCGAAGACACACAAGGACCTGCACACGCAGGACCTGCGTCCCTCCGACGGAAGGACCGATTCTTCGGAAAACAAGCCACTGCAACTCACCTACCGTGGAGCAGCCCTGCAACCATAAGGAAATTGAGCGTTTTGGTGTAAAACTCTCGGAAAACAGTCCCTCAGCCCGGACTGTTGGACTAGCGAGTCCGTCCCCGCGCTGCACCCTTCCTTCCAGAGAACGAGAGGACGCAGCCCCTTTGGTCGTCTGAGGCTGATGCCCCCCCAACACCAGACCGGACGAGGGCGGGACAGAGTCCTTCACACAGGCCACGACCCCCCTGAACCGGAAGGCAGCTGCCCCCCAGAGAACCCACGCACACAGAGCTCAGCCGCGGGCAGAGCTCAGCCTCGGGCAGCACTGGCCCCGCGCCGTCCCCAAGCGGGGCTGCTGGGTGCCAGGCCGGGCCGGCGGTTGCACCCGGGCCGAGTTGGCTGGTGTCCGCCCAGCGAGAGGAGAACCCACGACTGAGTTCGTGGGTGCAGGCGAAGCACCTGGCAAAATTCGGCCCCCGTTCCTGGTTTTGAAAAACACAGAGAGGTAGAAATAGAAGAAACTTCCGCTATGAAAGAGCACCTAAAAAATACCGGACGGCTGCGCTCCTGCTTCATGCTCAGTGAGGGGCCGAGTGTCCCCTGGGCCTGGGAACGGGCCGCCGCCAGGCCACCGCTTGCCTGGTGCCACCCAGCAGTCACGCGGGAGACGGGCAGGAGAAGGGCACCGGGGCCGGGGGGAAGGGATGGTGCCGTTGGCAGAGGACCGTCTTCTACGCAGAAAACTCCAAGGCATCCCAAAGAATCTGCCAAAAACTCGGAGAACTCAGGAGTGAGCTCTGAAAGGCCACGAGATACAAGGTGAACATGCAGAAGTATGTTGTGTTTCCGTACATTGGCCATGGACGTGTGGACACCGACACTGGACATATGTCACACTTAGTGTCACCCCAAAGGATGAAACACGTGGGTGTAAGCCCATCAATGCAGGCCCAGGGGTCTGTGGTGGCAACCACAAGATGCCGGTGAGAGAAACCACGGAAAATCTTCGGGGCCAGGCAGAGAGAGCTTGGACAGGACGCCAGACCCACAGTCTGTAACCTCACCCACAAAAAGCAAAGCAGATAATTCGACCTTCACACGAGTTCGAGACTGAGCACGTGGGCCGGCTCAGCAGATGACAGTCTGGTCACGGAAGGCATCTCATCGGTGGCCCAAAGGACAGTTGTATGTTTTCGTCGGTAGATGCCCACGACCCAACAAAACCCATGACCCGCTCGAGAGCAAAACTCTCAGCAAACCAGGAGGCAGGGAGAATGCCCACAACTCGATGAAGAACGTCCAGGAAAACCTCCAGGAGTCGCTGGGTGGCGGGAAACCGGGTGTCTCCCCGAAGGTCGGGGACGGCCAGGGGTCCCCTCCCACGGCTCCTCGTCCTGCTGGGGGTCCTGCCTGAGGGGGAGGGTCGGGGGAAGGGCGTGAGGTGAGGGCGTGCAGGTTGGGGAGGAGGAACGAGGGGTCTTCGTCCACAGGGGACACGGTTGTCTCTAGAAAACCCCGGAGAACCAACAACGAGCCCGGAGCTCGTGTGCAACGGCTGCGGAGTCCCACGGCACTCGGTAAGTGTGCAAGAGTCAGCCACCTCCCCACACCCGCAACCAGCAGCGGAACCTGAAGTTAAAACACAGTCCCATTTGCACTAACGCCCCCAAAATCACTACGTGGAAACCTAACAGAACACCTACAAGGTCTGTGTGAGGAAAACTGCAAAATTCTGATTTAAAAAGAAACAGCAAAGATCTGAGCAAACGGAGACGCGTTCCCTGCTCACGGACAGGAGGACCCACCGCGGTCGAGAGGGCAGGCTCCCCGACTCGGTCTGCGGGCTCCGTGCCGTCTCACCGACACCCCTGCAGGCCCCCGTGGGTGCTGCCGACGGGCTGATTCCGAGGTTTGTGTGGGGAAGAGTTGACGGACCCAGAACGGCCGACGCAGGGTCGAGGGAGAAGGGAGGGTCGGAGGACGGAGGCCGCCCGGCCCCGAGACTCGCCGTGAAGCCGCAGTGACCGGACGGCGTGGTCCCAGAGCGGACAGATGGGTCTGTGGAGCGAACCGGAGTCCGGAAATCAGTCCTGGGAACAGTCACCTGCGGTCTCGGACAAGGAGCAACGACAACCCGGTGGACAGAACCCGACTCTGAGACGAGTGACGCTGGGACCGCTGGGCGTCCACGCGCAGAAACAACAGTGTTTGCCCAGACCTGACACTTCCACAAAGACCAGTTCAAAACTGGTCACAGTCCCACGTGGAAAATGCAAAACCGCAGAACTCCTACGGGATGACGCAGGAGGAAATCCGGGCGGTGAGCGTGTCGCCGCGGCGCCGGAGCACTGTCCCCGGGAGGAGAAGCAACGTCGGCCTTTGCAGGCACTGTGGCGGCCGGAGAGGCTGTCGGACGCCACGACGACCAGCCCCAGACGGGGAGAAGGGTTCGCAAGCCCCCCTGTGACGAAGCGCTCCTGTCCCAGCCCTGCCGAGGACCCTTAGCAGTCAACGATAAGGAAAGAAACGACCCAGCTGAGAGGGAGCAAGAGCTGTGCCCAGACGCCGTGCCCAGGAAGCAGCCACGCAGCAGACCAGCCGGCGGAGACGCCCACTGCGCCTGCCGCCACGGGGAGGGGTCACGGCCCCGCCGTCAGCACGACTGAAACCCAGACGCTCGCGGCGCCGGACGCCAGACCCTCCCGCTCCCCGCTGCCGGGAACAAGCCTTCTGCTGCCCCCCCTCGCTGAACACAGTGGGTGGTCTCTCACAAAGCCACGCGGGCCACGACCACCCAAGCCAGAAATCCGCTCCCCGGCCCCTGTGCTGGAGAAGCGTTCGCACAGCGTCCTGCCCGTGAACGCCCCCGGCAGCGCCATCTGGGACGGCCCCGGCCCGGAAACCGTCTGTGAGTGAGTGGTCGGCGGCAGGAGCAGCGGAGGGGGCGTGGCAGCCCGGACGGCGCAGAGAGGGGCCGGTCCCCGAAGCGGCACGCTGTGCAGTGTGACACGTGGTGTCCTGCAGGAACCGACAGCAGCCCGGAAACGGCCACCGGGGAGCGGCGGCCGGGGACCGAGGTGGGGATGGGGCGGGAGGAACGTCCTGCCTCTGGGCCGTGTCGGTGACGGTGGCGGCGCCCCGGCTGCGGTGCTGTGGGGCATTGCCAAGGCCTGACCGTGGGGGCGGGTGGGGAAGACGGGGGGTTCCTCGCAGCCGCGCGTGTGCGACCACATTGGTCTCTGCACGGGGCGCGGGTCCCCAGAGGCTAATAAATAAACACTCGGCGAGTCGCTCCGTTTCCCTGTGCACCGAGCTGAGCCGCGGGAGGCGGCGGCCCTGTATCCGGGCGCCCGGGCCGCTCCTCTCAGGGCCTGACCGACGGTGTTGTGCACGCCAGGACGGACGCAGTGCCCGAGGTCGTCGACACGCTCAAACCCACGGGGGAGCCCAGGTCACTCAGCCTGAGACCTGTTCCAGTTCACCAGCTGCCCCGGTCCGGAGCTGCCACTCAGGCGCCTGCCTCACCATCGTCTTCCTCGTGGGGACGGACAGAAACACCTGCGGGATGTGCACCCAGAGCTGGATAGAGACCCACTGGGACTCGGGGGGGATCGATCACTCCGTGGAACTTAAAAAAGAGAGAGCAGTGCCTTTCGTTGGTTTTAAACCCTGCTCCACACCCTTCCTGTTTGCCCGTGCCGGGCGGTGTGGGTGAAGCAGAGCTCGAGGGTTTCGGGCGCACGGGCCTGTGCCGCACCGTCTAGTGCCGCGGTCAGCGCCCCCACCCACAGTCAGACCTCCCCACTCCGTCACCATGTGGCTCCACCTTCCTGCCCCCACCCGCCCGCCCGCCCCCCCTCCGGTCACCACCACACTGTCCTCTGTGTGTGTCTGGGTTTCCCTCTCATGCCCCGCAAGTGAGTGGACTCAACACGGTTCTAGGCTTTTTCTGCCGACTTAACTTCACGTAGTACGAAACCCTCAGGGCCCACCCACGTGGCGGCAGAGGGCAGTACCCGCCCCTCCTCACAGCCGAGCGGTGTCCCGTAAGGGTGCGCCTGCACTGCGTCCTCTGTGTCCAGCCCTGCATTGAGGCCCCCCCCCGCACCCCCCCATCTGCCACCGTGGGTGATGCTGCACTGAACACGGGTGTGCGTGTATCCTTGCGAACACACCGCATGCCACACACATCAGTGCATTCAGAACAAACTCTCGTGTGCCCGTGTTTTCCGTTGAGAGCCCCTTCCCTGTGGACACTGCCCAGACCACTGGGCCTGGCCCCTCAGCAGCACAGCCTGGTTCAGGGGACGCGTGGCCTCAGACGCCGAGTTGCCGGCTCGCCCCTGAGTGTTTGGGGCCTGTGGGCCCTCGTGTGTGCACACGCGTTAAACACGCACCTGGGGGCGGGGGGGCTCCGGGCTCCGAGGAGGCGCCTGTGGGGTCCCAGCGGGGGCAGCTGTCGGGACCGGGGCCCGTCTGCTGAGCATGGCCGGCCTCTCCCCTCCGCAGGCCTCGGTGTACTGTGTGGCCGCGGTGCTGTGGACGGCAGCCAAGTTCGGCGTCCCCCAAGACCACAAGCTGGTCCTGCCACGCAGGCTCAAGGCCCTTCTGCTGGAGATGGCCAGGCGTAGCGCCCAGGAGCGGCCGTCAGTGGCCGAGGCCAGCAAGGTAGTGGCCAGGCCTGGTGGCCTGGGGGGGCGTCCACAGGGAAGGAGAGCTGGACCTGGCTTCCAGGAACGGCAGGTGCTGGGCAGGGAGGGCAAGGGTTTTATTTGTGGTGGGCCCACCCCCCCAGAGCTGTCCCCACAGCAGCAGGCCGGCCTGGACCCTGCCCTTGGGCCCTGCTGGGGCGGGGGGGCCGAGTCCATCCCCCACATGCCCCCCCCCCGGTCATCTGCCTCCTCGCCTGTGCAGGCCAGGGGCGAGGGGCCCTCCTCCCAAGTGACGAGAGCAGGGGAAGCCCACCGCTGTTTGCCTGACCTGGGGCCGCGGGACCTTCAGAAGGAGCCGCTCTGTGCAGTCGGGGGGAGGGGATGGTCTGGGGCTGCAGCCTGGGGGGGGGGGGGCCTGTCTGCCCCCCGGAAACGAGCGTGTTGGGGCTCGCGGGGCACGTGGCCGCACCGAGAGGGGACACGCTTCCTCCTGCAGAGGCTCAGGGCGAGGGACGGACACCCGCTCAGTGCCCGGGGGCCCCGGGGGCCCCGTCTGCCTCTGTCTGTCCACGAGGGCCTCCGCCTTGCCCTGGGCGTACGGACTCGGGGTCCCCTGGGTCCATGGGTCCGCTCCCTTCCCTGTAGTGGGCGGGGAACCGCTCTGCTCTGGGCCAAGGTGTCGGGGTGCGTCTGGGCGTGTGCGGGCTGGCAGCTGCTGCCCCCGCTGGCCATGGTCCCGAGACCTCACCCTCCTCGCAGTTTCTCGGGGGGCGGCCGGGAAGGTCCTGCATCCTCCGGCCTCTGTCTCAGCCCTGGGCCCCTGGCGGCCGCCCCTGCATGCCGGTGGCTGCCGGCGGGGCGGGGTGGGGAGAGGCGGTGGCCACCTCCGTCCAGTTTTCGTCCCCACCGAGGGCGTGCCGGGAGGGGAGCACTCGGCGTGCGGGCGCCCACGCTCCTCACGGGCCGCCGGCCTGGCCGCCCCGGTCTTCCCGTAGAGGAGCGCCAGGGGCCCCACGGCCTGCGCTGAGGCTCCGTCCAGTCCGGCGGGACGCGGGGCTGGTGGCCGAGCCGCCCGCGTCTCCGCGTGTCGGACGTGGGGCCTGTGTCCTTGCTTCCAGACCTGTGGCAGCTACCTCCTCCAGCGAGGCATGGACAGCAGGGAGATTTTAGCCCACCTGAGGGCGTCTACCTGCAAGGTACGGGGCCACTTCCCAGGCTCAGGTGGGAGCACCTGAGCCAGCCCTGGGGCCCCGAGAGGTGAGGGTCTCGTCTCCCCCGTCGATGGTGGAGTGTGGGGAGGGGGCTCTGACGCGACACCCTCCCCGCCGTCGTGAGTGGCCGCCCCTGGTCCTCTGACCCAGGCGGGGCGGGGCACACCCGGGTCCCTCGGGCAGCAGACGGGCACGCCGCGCCCCCAGGGCCTCGGACGGCACACGGCCCCGGGCCCCGGAGCCTCAGGACACCCGGCTGGGTCGGGACGTGCGTGCCGCCGAGGCTCCTGCCCCAGAGAGAGGCGGGCCGGCTCTGAGAGTCGGCCGTCGCTGGAGCGCGGGGCGCACCGAGCGTCCTGGGGCCGTGGCGTCACGGCCACTGGGCTGTGTCCGCCACCGCTGCAGGTCCACCAGGAGGAAGAGACCATCAGTCTCCAGAAGGCATTCTCGGCGCTCGAGCTGACCCCCGGCACGGAGCCCGACCCCAGGCCCGGCTCAGGTGGGTCCCCCCGCCCGGGTCCGGCCCACCCTGCCCCACGACGGCCCTGCCGCCCACCAGAGTGAGGTGCCGCCCCTGCACCCCGTGCGACCCCCCACCAGCCTGGTCCCCCCTCTGCCCCAGTCTCTTCTGAACGCCCGCCCCCAGTCCTCTCCCAGGTCGCCAGCCACCAGGTGGCGGTTCCGACCGTCACCCTCGCACGGCCTTATCGCTGACCCCCCAGTGCTGGCCCCACCCCGCGTCCCCTCCCCAGAGCCGTGTCCTGTCCCCGTGGCACCTGCCCCATCCCGTTTGTGGGGGTTTCCATCGCCCCCACCCCCTCCCAGTGCCTGCTGCCCGGGCTGGGCCTCCCTCTGCGAAGTCGTCTTTCCCCGGGGGGCTGGCACGTTTGGGGGGTGTGGACAGGGTCACAGCACCCTCCAGTGGCCAGAGGAACCACCTCGGCCTGGCACCCCCGCCCACATGCACCCCAAGTTTGTCCCAGGCCTCACGGAGGTCGGCAGCGACTCCAGGCTGGTGGCCATGCAGGGGCCCGTGCCTGCTCGACCCCCCCCCCCGCTCCGTGGGGGCCTCACAGCTGCCCCCCGCTTTCTCCTCCGCAGTCGTGCACGTCAAGCCCACGGTCCTCGCAGCAGGAGCAGGTGTGACCAGGTGAGTGGCAGGTGTGGCCGGGAGCCGGCTGCCTCCGAGAGCCCCCCCTGAGCCCTTTCTCGGCTCACAGGGACCCCCCTGCCGGGGCCGTGGGGACGGCGGAGGAGCCGGAGGAGAGGAACGGCATGCTGGACGGGGACGTGGACGGGAAGAAGGCTCCTGAGGGCCAGGCCACGGCCGACAGCCCGGAGACGCCTGACCGGCTGGCGCCTGGACCCCCCAGAGAGCTGGTGCCGGGAGGGGCAGCCCAGGGCGGCCCCTGCCCCCCAGCTCCCGCCGCGTCCGAGTCACCCCGGTCTCCTGCCCCAGCCCCGCCCCTGAAGGCACAGGAGCCGGCCCCCTCTGGAGATGCCTCTGGCGGCCTCAGGCCCCCCGCCCCAGGGACCCCCGCAGGCCCCCAGGGCCCGCACCACCCGGCCAAGCCGCCCAGGAGCAAGGCCCCCAAGGGCCCCGGCCGGGAGCCCCGGAGCCCCCCGTCAGCTCCCCTCAGCCCCCCCCCGGCCGAGGCGAGTCCCGACAGCCCCAGGGGTGCCACAGTCGGCCACCCCGAGAGACCCCGGCCGGCAGACCGCAAGCCGTGTCCGCCCGGCGTGGACGCCTCGCCAGCCCCCCGGAGCCCGGCCTGCCCGTCGCTGCAGGAGGCCACGCGCCTCATCCGCGAGGAGTTCGCCTTCGACGGCTACCTGGACCACGGGCTGGAGGCGCTGATCATGGGTGCGGGGCCGTGGGGCGCCGTGCGCGGGGGCGGGGCGGCGTGAGGGGTTAGGGGGGCCCCACTCCCCTGCAGTAGGGGCAGAGCCGGGGCCCCCAGGGGTCGTCTGGCAGCAAAGAGGGTGGCAGAGCCCAGCCGCCCGCCCGCCCGCCCTGGCCCGAGATCAGTCTCGCTCCTGAGGGAAGTGGGGAACCCCCCGCCACAGCTCACCCACGTTGTAACTTGCCCCTCTCCCCTCACACCACCAGGGGAATACATTTACGCCTTGAAAGACCTCACCTACGCCACCTTCTGTGGGGCCATCGCCGAGAAGTTCTGTGACCTCTACTGGGGGGAGAAGCTGCTGCAGAACCTTTTCCGCGTGGTGAACGGCAGGACGTCGCCCCCCGCGAGGTGAGTGCCCCTGCCGGGCCCCCAAGGCAGACCCCCAGGTGCAGGGGCCACGCTCTCTCCCTGCCCCGGTCTCAGCTCCAGGCCCCCAACAGGAGCCGCCCACCAAGGGCCCCTCTCGTGGCCTGAGCCCACCTGCCCCCAGTTTTCCATGTCAGCACCTGCTCCTTTGGGGCGGAAAAGCAGGCCTCCGGGACCACCAGGGGCCAGGAGGGGCATCTCCCTGCTCAGGGACTGGCCAGAGGAGGCAGAAGACCAGGACCCCCAGAGGGAGGTCCCCGCAGAGAACTGTGTCTGCCCATGCTCCACCCCCCTTCACAGACTGCTCCCCAGTGCTCCAGGGCACAGGGCCCGGCCCCCCGCCCTGGGCTGCAGGGGAGCAGCCTGGAGCAGCCCAACACCCGGACCCCAGGGCAGCCCTGTGCCCCCGACAGCCCTGCCTGCCGGGCGACCACACAGCAGGCCACAGGACACGCAGAGGCCGCACAGCAGCCATCACAGCCCCGCCTCCCAGGGTCACAGGCACTCACAGTGAGGTGCACCCGCCCGTGAGACCCACTGAGGGTGGCAGACCCCACGCTGTCCCAGCCCTGGGACAGGCGTCCAGGGACCCAACAAGGACGCACAAGGAGCCTGTGCCACTCTGTGTGCTCTGGGAGGGGGGCGCCCACGAGGGTCGGTCAGGCTGGCCCTGGACATGCGGGCGTGGGCGGGGCTGCCCACCATGGAGCCCTGTTACCTGGGCGAGCATGGCCCCCAGGGCTCACCGCACTCGGTCGCTGTGTGGGGCGGGGTCTCTGGTTCGAGGGGTTTCCCTCAGAGGGCGAAGTGGAGGGGAGCTGGGGGGCATGGGGACTGCCCCAGAGCCTAAATGTCCCCCACTCTGGTGGCAGTGCTCCGGAGGAGGCGGGGTCACAGCCCGACGGCAGCGGCCGGGCCAGCTCACCCAGCAGCGGTTCCCCTGCCAGCAAGAGGCCCTTGCTGCGTGGAGCAGGTAAGGGCAGGGCCTGGGGCCTGTTCACGGCAGACTCCTCCAGGCCCCCTCCATGTGGCTCTCCTGTCCTCCTCCCCGGGCACCAGCACTGTGAGGGGCCGGGCACCCTGGTGGCCTTGGGGCCCTCACCCCCCTTCACCTGCTCTGACCTTCCCTCCACAGACAGACAGACAGACAGACTTTATTGTGTCCATCTGTCTGCACGCAGGCCAGGGTTCCCTCAAACCTCCATGGTCACATTTACCCCTTGCCCCGGGACAGCTGGGTTTTTGGGACCCCACCCCAGACCCCGAGGGCCCCCTAGAGCAGAGGTGGGGCCGCCTGGCTGTCCCAAAGGGCCTCGCGTCCCCAGCAGGGTGCATGCAGCCTCTGTGGACAGGTCACTGCAGGCCCCCGCATGACCCGCAGCTGCTGCCCCCACTCTCTGCCCTCTGTCCAGGGAAGGACACGCCGGCCGCTCACGGCAGCAGAGCCCCAGGCCTGCCCCCCTCGCTGTCCGACGTGGATTCAGAGGAGCTGTCCCGGGGCAACTTGGAGGTGGGGTTCCGGCCCCAGAGGAGGGAGCAGCTGCCCGAGGCCACGGAGGACCGGCAGCAGGCGGGGGGCCCAGAGCTGGCTGGAGAGGCCTCGGACTTGGAGGCAGTGGTGCGGCCGGCCCGGCCTAAGAAGGGCGGCCCGGCCCCGAACCCAGGCCCGGCCGCCTTCCAGAGCTGCAGCCCCGGCTGGAGCAGCGCCTTCTACGAGGCCGGCTGCTTCGGGGCCGACATCCACAGCTACGTGCGGGGGCTGGGGGCGCGGGAGGCCGGCGGGGCCCCCGACCCCTCGGGCCAGGTAAGTGCTGGGCCTCTGGCCACAGCAGGGGCGGGAGGCCCCCGTCCAAGCAGGGCTCTGGTCTCACAGGGGGCCGGGGTCCTCCCTGGGTCCCCCACTTCCAGCACCCACTTGCCCAGGGACCCCCGCGCCGGCCAAGGCACCCTCCCCGTGCTGGTCAGCACGTGCCCTCCACCCTCTGGGGGAGGGGATGGCCCTTCTGTTCTTGCCGGTGGAGTGTGTGGGGACACACTGCACACAGGGGACACACAGGGGACAGCTGGCAGGAAGCCATCCCGCCCCGGAGAGCTCGGTCCCATCCGGGCCGTGGCCCTGGCTCTGGCAGGTGTGGCTCCCTCGGCCTGGGCGGCCCTCCGGGCTCCCGCCCTGGGCCACACGCCCTTGAGGAGCACCTGCGGTGGCGGTCAGTTCGGCCCGGGCCCGAGTCCGCCTGGCCCGGCGTCTGTGGTCCCCGGGTGCCGGACGGGAGGGGGCCCGTCAGCAGTCTGGCCTCCGAGCCACGAGCCACAGGCGTGCGTCCCACGGCCCTCGGCACCGTCCGAGCGTCCCCGGTGTCTCTCCTGTCCACCTCCCACCGCCGGCTGGACATCGAGTTACCTACCACTCAGTCCCAGCCAGACAGGGACCCCGCCCCTGCGCCATCCTGGCACACGCTGTCCTGGGGACAGGGCTCCAGGCTGCGTCCTCGGGCACCCTGACCACCGGGCCAGACAGCGTGCGCCGGGGAGGGCCAGGACCTCCCGTGGGGCCCTGGGGAGGAAGGCAGCCTGGCCTTCCTGCCTGGCGCCCAGGGCGGGGCCAACAGAGCTGCCGAGGCCACGAGGAAGCTGATGCAACTGTGCCAGAGCCTGGAGCTCAGCCCGGGGAGGGCGGCCCCCAGCCCAGACACAGTCTGCTTCCCTCCGCCTCCTGCCCTCCCTCCGCAGGCGCCCAGCGAGGCCCGCTCGGAGCTGCTGCATGTCCCATCCAGCGGTGGCCTTTCCCAGGAGTGGAAAGCAGCCAGCTCTGAGCAGTGGTGGCCAGCAGGGCCAGCACCCTGCGTCCTCCCACCACCGGGTAGCCGAGGCTCGGGAGGGTAAGGGGCGGAGTGGGCACCGGGGACAGCTGCCGCTCACGACAGCCCAGGCGAGCAGGCCTGGTGCCCGAGGTGGGTCGGACCCTCCCCCAGCGGGGCCGTCCTGGCGCTGGAGGATCGCGAGAGCTCACGGACAGCAGGGGTTTGCCGCGAAGGGGTGGCGAAAGGAGGTAGGGGCCAAGCAGTGCGCCTGGCCCCACAGCCACAGGTCCTGGCCCGGTCGGCCCACAGCCCTCTCCGGTCGAAGGGACCAGGCTCCCTGTGGAGCGGCGGTCTGGGCCTGCTGTGGGGGAAACACAAGATGAGCCGGCGCGTGAAGAACGCAGTGATGGGCGAGAGGTCACAGGGGCCACCGAGGAGCCCCCGGTGGTCACGGCCAGAGGGACACAAGGGACACAGCATTGGCGTGGGACCCAGAGGACGGAGCAGGTGTGCGGACGTCCACACGGATACACAGTCGAGATGAAACAGGACGGACACCCAGTAACGTTTTCACGGAAAGATGAGCCCTGGCTGGTGTGGCTCAGTGGACTGAGCGCCAGCCCAGGAACTAACGAGTGGACAGTTCGATTCCCAGCCACGGCACATGCCTGTGTTGCGGGCCAGGTCCCCAGGAGGCAACCACAAGTCAATGTTTTTCTTCCTCTTTCTTCCTCCTCCCTTTCTCTAAAAAATAAATGCACACATAAAATCTATTTTTTTAAAAAGGCAAAAACCCCTCCCAGAACTCACGTGCGCCTCAGAGAACCCCGAGTGACCCAGGCGGCTGTGGGGAAGCACCGAGCTGGGAAGCACCGGCTCCTGACCTCAGGGCTCACCGTGGCGCCGCCTTAACCAGGCCAGCGCGGCCCCGGCCCGGGGCAGACACGGCCGGGGGACACAACAGGGAGCCCGGGGACGAGCCCGCACGACTGCGGTCAGACGGGGGCCGAGACCACCAGTGCGGGGGGACAGTGCCCCCAGCAGGTACAGCCGCAAACGGTGGACGCCCCCACGCAAAAGAACGAAGCCGCCCACCCGCCGCTGCCGCACTCAGAAACCGACCAAAACCTCAGACACCTGCACTGGGGTGGGGGCTGGGGGGCCGAACTTTAAACTCCCGGAAGAAAATGGGGTGGGGGAGCCCCCCACACCGGGCTGGCGCTGCCCCCGTGTGCGACCGCAGACACACAGGCGGCCACAGTGAGAGCGAGCACGGAACCGCCGACACGCCAGCGCCCGGGCGTCCAGGGGCAGGCGGGCGGAAGCGCCCACAGGTCGTGAATGGGGTCCGAGCCGGACGCGGGGTCCACCCCGAGGTCAGCGGCCGGACAGCCTGCGCGCGGCCACACACCCGAGGACGGGGCTTCCGCAGACGCTCTCCAAGGAGAACGTAAAACGGCCGGAGAGCACGTGAAAACGTGGTCGGCGTCGTCCATGGTCAGGGAAAAGCAAATCAGCACCACGAGATACGCTTCATACCCCCTCTGAGGCGTAGGCAGACACGCTGCGCCTCCTCGCACAACCAAAAGAAGGGCAACAGCAAATTTAAAGATGAAAAAACAACCAGAACTGCCAGGAAATCGAACTGTGTGGAAGTCTGACAACCAAGGAGTGAAGAAGAAACACTCACCCAGACCAGCAGGAGGGGCGGGCAGCCGTGCGCACAGGACCCGCAGCAAGGCTGTGGCCGGCGGACCCAGCGAGGCGGTGGATTGCGAACTGGTCAGCCCCACATTCGCGTGTGGATGAACCCGGAGGAACAACTGGGGAGCGGGACAGACCGCGCAGCTCAGGGTTCAGTGCGGGGAAATAAAGCCTCAAAGCTCTGGCTGAAAACACCTGTGAGGGTTGAGGCAGCGGGGGAAACTCCCAGCCTCCCAGGAGAGTTTGTTGGAGAGACCCACAGGGTCCTAGAACGCACACAAGCCCACCCACACGGGAACCAGCACCAGAAGGACCCACTTTGCTTGTGGGTAGCGGGGGAAGTGACTGAAAACTGGCAGAGAGCAGAGCAAGTGGCACTGTTCCCTCTCGGACCCCTCCCCCACACACAGCACCACAACGCAGCAATTTGGGTTGCCCCACCCTGGTGAACACCTAAGGCTCCACCCCTTACTACATAACAGGTGCAACAAAACAAAAAAAAAATGGCCCAAATGAAAGAACAGATCAAAGCTCCAGAAAAAGTTCAACTTAGTGACGAAGAGACAGCCAACCTATCAGATGCACAGTTCGAAACACCGGTCATCAGGATGCTCACAGAATTGGTTAAATATAATCACAAATTAGATGAAAAAATGCAGGCCATGCTAAGTGAAACAAAGGAAAATGCACAGGGAACCAACAGTGATGGGAAGGAAACTGGGACTCAAATCTATGGTTTGGACCAGAAGGAAGAAAGAAATATTCAACCAAAACAGAATGAAGAAATAAGAATTTTAAAAAATGAGAGCCTTAGGAACCTCCAGGACAACTTTAAACGTTCCAACATCCAAATCGTGGTGCCAGAAGGAGAAGAAGAGAATGAAATTGAAAACTTATTTGAAAAAATAATGAAGGAGAACTTCCCCAATCTGGCAAAGGAAAGACTTCCAGGAAGTCCAGGAAGTCCAGAGAGTACCAAAGAAGTTGGACCCAAGGAGGAACACACCAAGGCACATCATAATTACATCAGCCAAGGTAAAAATGAAGGAGAGAATTCTAGAAGCAGCAAGAGATAAGGGGACAGTTACCTACAAAGGAGTTCCCATAAGACTATCAGCTGATTTCTCAAAAGAGACCTTGCAGGCAAGAAGGGGCTAGAAAGAAGTATTCCAAGTCATGAAAGGCAAGGACCTACATCAAAGGTTACTCTATCCAGCAAAGCTATCACTTAGAATGGAAGGGCAGATAAAGTCCTTCCCAGATAAGGTCAAGTTAGAGGAGTTCATCATCACCCAGCCCTTATTTTATGAAACGTTAAAGGGACTTATCTAAAAGAAAGATCAAAACTGTGAACAGTAAAATGACGACAAACTCACAGCTATTTACAACCGAATGTAAAACAAAAACAAACTAAGCAAACAACTAGAACAGGAACAGAACCACACAAAAGGAGATCACATGGAGGGTTACCAGTGGGGAAGGGGTGGGGAGAGAGGGGGCAAAGGTACAGAGAATAAGTAGCATGAATGGCAGGTAGAAAACAGACAGGGGGAGGGTAAGACTAGTACGGGAAATGTAGAAGCCAAAGAACTAATATGTACGACCTGTGGACACGAACTAAGGGCGGGAACGCAGGTGGGAGGGGGTGTGCAGGGCGGAGGGGGACAAAGGGGGAGATGGGACAACTGTAACAGCATAATCAATAGGACATGTTTCAAGAAAAGAAGAGGAAGACGGTCAGTGTCGGTGAGGACGCGGAGGGTCCCGCGAGCCGTGGGTGGGAAGGCAGACCACGGCAGCGGCCGCGGAAGACGGCGAGGCCACCTCTGGGTGGAGCCCCCAGGACGGGCCCCAGGGACGGGCACACGTGCTCACAGCAGCGCCGGCCACCGTCGCCCGGAGGCGGAAGCGGCCTGGGTGTCACCCGGAGGGATGCACAGAGGAGCAGGGTGTGGCCCCCCCACCCACAGTGGAATAGCCTTCAGACGAAGCGGAAGGACACCCTGCCCCCTGCTGCCCCCGGAGGGGCCGGGAGGGCGTGGGCCGGGGGGGCCGAGCTGACACGGAAGGACTCGGGCTGGGTGCGCCCACTCCCACGAGGCCCCTGGGGAGGCAGAGCCACGGAGACGGAAGTGGACGTGGTGCCGGCGTGGGGGGCGGGGGGCACAGGGAGAGAGTGGGGGGGGCCGAGTGTCATTCTCAGGGGGGCAAGGGAGTTCGGGGGGCAGCGGCCGCCCAGTATCACGTGTGCCTCACGCCACTGGACTGCGTGATGGCAAACGGTTAAAGCGGTAACTGTCATGTTCCACATATTTCATCCCCGTACAAAAACTTGAAAAAAATTATTTTTTTAAACTGAGTGAGTGGAGGGACAACACGGGGGGATGGGAATCAGGCTGGCAGGCGGGCTGCCGGTGGAGTCCGAGTACGGAGACGGACCTCCGGGTCGCCCCGGGGTTTCCCCGCAGCTCCCAGCGCGGTGGCCAGCGTCCCCCCAGCGCTGGCACATGGACCTCAGCAGTCGCAGGAGGCGGAGCCCCGCTGACCTGGGGCCAAGAGTGGGGGACAGGGGCGCCCCACTGTGTCACAGGCCACCCTCACTGGGGGCAGTCACGCCCGTAGGGACAGGGATGGGCAGGCGAGCAGGGTGGTGCCTGTGGGGTCCCTGCCGGGTGCCGGGTCCAGGCCGATGGGGCCCTTGTCCTCCTCCTCGGGTGGCAGCCCCCTCGCAGGGAGACACGCCCACCGGTGAGCCCGGCACCCGACGGTCACTCGGGTTGTTCTTGAACCTGGACTGAGGCCGGCTCAGGTCAAAGACTCGGCTGGGCCAGTGTCCGGTTTCACTGGGCGTGAACCTATGGCCGGGACCCCTGGCCTCCGGTCTCTGAAACGCCACCCTGGGGGGCTGCCCTGGGCCCCACCGCCACTCTGCGGGAGGTCCCCGTGGGGACGGGACAGGAGGTGAGGGACTTGGGGGCAGACGACCTGCAGTGACCTCATTCTCCCCTCTTTCCTGCTCCCCTGGGAAGGCGTCTCTCCTGGAGCCTGAGTGCAGGCAGGTAAGTGTCCTGGGCCCCCACCTCGTGGGTGGGCTGGGGGAGACCCCGGCCTGGGGCCACGGCCTCACGTTTCTCCTCGAGAGCCTGCTCTGCAGGCTTCCCAGCAGGGGCCCCGGAGAAACACGAAGGGCATAAAACCATGAGTGGACACACGTCACATTTGTCACCAAACACATGTGAAACAGGCCTGGGTGCTGGGGGGGGCCACCGAGGGCACGCGTGTGCTGTCCACCCAGCGCGAGCTGACGGCGCAGCTGCCGCGGCCGCGGGCCAGGCCCCCTTGTGCCCAGCAGTGGTCCGGACGCCTGGCCTCCTGTGCCGGCTGCCGGGCTGTGCTGCTCCCAGTCCCCAGGGGCGTGGGCCCGACCTCGGCCAGTCCCTCTCTCCTCTGCCCCCTCCTCCTGGTTCGGCCGACCTCCTTCCGCCCGGTTTCCCCGCCCCCCGACTCCCAGCCGCCTCCCGGTCCCCGCGACGCCAGCGGCAGCAGTGCGCCAACTATGCCTCAGACCTTCCGCGCGCACTTCTCTAAAAAGGGGTGCCCTCTGACTTCCAATAAAAAGTCCTGGTCGGGCCAGGCCGGGAAAGGCCTGGACGCAGGGGCGTCACACTGGGGCCCTGGCGGACGGCGTCTCTGCGGTCAGGGTTTCCGTGCTTCTGCCGCCGGGCGGCCGCCGGCTCTCGGGTCTTCCTCTGCCATCCCAGGTGCCGTGTGGGTTTAACCCACGTGGGCTTGTCTCTAACACCCGAGAGAACAGCCCTTCTCAGGGCTCGGCCTGCGGTTCAGCGACAGGCCAAGTGCTGCCGACAGACCTCACACCTGCCTTTGCACACTGCGGGTCCTGGGACGCTGAGAACACGTCTGCAGACCCTCCCTCAGGGCCTGGACACAGCACCAGGGGGTGGTGGGCTGGACACGGACTTGCACAGAGTGACCTCCCGAGCCGCCCAGGAAGGAGGCTCGCCCTGGAACGCACGGCTCCCGCCGCCCTGCCCTCGGGTTGGGGTCGCCACCACCGTCCTCAGGAGGCTGGAACCACTGGAGCCAAGCGTGCGGGGAGGGGCTACGGGACCCCCAGGCCGCGCTCGAACCCGACGTGCTGACAGCGGGAGGACGAGTCCCATGGTGAACACAGCTCCTCGGGCCACTGGCACTGACCGCTGTGTCTCGGCCCGCGCCCCCAGACAGGACTTTTCCGATGGAAGGTTCCAGGCCTACCCAGCCCACAGGTGGCCCCACAGCGGAGGCACTGACCTTTTCTTCTGTTCAACACGAGACCCCGCCCGTGGCCAGTGGCCACCCTGTCGGTGCCCGGGCCTGGCACGCGAAACCCTGGGTGCAGCCGCCCTGGGTCGCCAGCTGTCAGGTGGGGGAGGCAGGCTGGGGTCCCCGCTTGAGGGGAGGGGCCGTGTCTGGACTCTGGGCACTTCTGACATTCGGTGCCCTGCCCCTCCTCTGTGCGAGGGGCGCCCGGGCTGTGTCCACGGTAGGGGATGCCCCGCCAGACAAGCCCGTGGCTCCTCCTGGGAGGACGGCACCCACTTCCCGAAGGTGAAAGCTCCCCAGGAAGAAGCCGGGCCGACGTGCCGCGGGGAGTGTGACGGCAGCCCCCGCTCCGCCCCCCGCTCTCTGGGTGATGGCACGGGCCACAGGGCCGCACGCTGGGTGTGTTCAAGCCTCGTGTGGAAAGCAGGGTCTCCGAAGACGCCCAGCTTGCCCCTGAGGAGGCCGTGCCCTCTGGAGGCTACAGTGCTCAGCTGGGCCGTTTGAGGGACCGCTCGGCCAGCCTGGCAGGACCGGGAAGAGGGGACCTCATTCCACGAGGGTGGGTTTGCCGGGAAGCAGGGGTCCCAAGTGTGGGGTGGGGCCTCCGTGGGCCTGCCCGTGACGTGGGGTCTGTGGGGGGCCTGGCTGGACAGCATCTGCCTGGGTGAGGACGCTGCCACTTGCCAGGTGACCCCCTGCCCTGCGGCCGACCCCAGGGCCAGGGAGGCCTCAAGGAGGCACGGTCCCAGCAGGCCCAACCTCCTCACTATGGATGTGATGTCTGCAGAACTCTCTGGGGGGGGCGGGGTGCACGAGGCACAGGACCGGATGCCCGGAGGCAGGGACAGTTCCGAGCACTGGACGCTGACCCCACCCTCGCGCTCGTCTGGGGGGGCACAGTTAACAGAGGGCGGCAGCCCCCCAGCAGCCCCCTCCTCCGGCGCCCTCCTGGGTCAGTGGAACCCACTTCTGCACGAAGGCCGGTTCCAGAAAATGGCCCCTCGTCACCGAGTGCGGCGGCTCCGCATCTCCGGGGTCCCAGCGGGGCTCCGACCCCCGTTCCACACACGGGTCTCGCTGCAGGAGCGCCCTCGCTGGCTTCGCCGAGAGCGACACGTGCCTGCCCGCGGCGTGGTCTCCGCGCTTCCGTTCGTGGGGTCCCACCGACCTGGGAATTCCGGGGCCGCAGAGAGAGGGGCGTCCAAGGGGAGCTGCGGCCGCGCGGCCGGCCCTGCCCACCGGTTCTGTCCTCTCCAGGAGCTGGAGCAGCAGCTCATGATGGAGCAGAGAACCTACCGGAAGACCCTCAAGTTCTACCAGAAGCTCTTACAGAAGGAGAAGCGGAGTAAAGGTAGGGCCGAGAGCTCAGGGCGGCCCAGGGGGACCCGCGGGCCCAGGGCCTCGGGTTGCTGACGGTGCCCCGCCCCCAGGCTCCGAGGTGAAGACAATGCTCTCCAAACTGAAGGGGCAGCTGGAAGAAATGAAGTCCAAGGTGCAGTTCCTCGGACTGGTCAAGAAGTACCTGCAGGCGAGTCGCCCTGCCTTCCCAAACCCGGCCCCCGCGGGTTTCCCACGGCCGCAACCTTGGGGATCCATCCTGCCACCGACCCCCTCCCCTCCCCCAACTTCTGCGGGGCCGCACGCTGTGCCCCCGCCCAGGGGCGGGGCCGGGGCGGGCGGCAGGGGCGTGTCCCGCACCCTCCCCCCCACCCCCGGGCGGCAGCAGGTCCGCCAGAAGCGCCCGTCCCGCGGCCCGCAGGTCCTGTACGCAGAGCAGTGGGGCCTGGAGCCCGGCGCCCTGCCCCTGCTCGTGAACGTGGCCGCGGCCCACTGCGGCGCGCCCGACTTCAGCCCCCTGGACGAGTCCTCCTCCCTCATCTTCTACAACGTCAGCAAGCACCCGCGCGGCGGCCGCCAGCGCAAGGCCCGCGTCCTGCAGGCGGGCACGCCGCTGGGGCTCATGGCCTACCTCTACTCCAGGTGCACACCGCGCCGGGGGCGGGGGCGGGGGGCGGAGCGCGGGGGCGCCCCGGTCACCCCTAGGCCTCCGAAAGGGAAAGGGAGACAGGAAGAGAAACAGGCCCCGAGGAGGGGAGGGGCAGGCAGTCGTGCTGCGAGCACAGCTGTGCGTGGCCACGGGCTCTCGGAGACTCTCGGGGCCGTGAAGAGCGACGTGCCCCCCACGTGGAACTCACACGTGTTCACGCGTCCAGGCAGAACTCACACTCACACGGAACACACATGTTCACACGCCCATGTGGAACTCACACTTCATGCTCCCACACAGAACTCACACGTGTCCACAGAACTCACGTTCACACGCACAAGAAACACATGCATGCACGCATCCACGCAGAACTCACATTCATACTCACATGGAATTCACACGCATCCACGCAGAACTCACACTCACACGGAACACACATGTTCACGCGCCCATGTGGAACTCACATTCACACTCATGCAGAACACACACATCCACACAGAACTCACGTTCACACTCACGCGGAACTCACACGCATGCATGCATCCATGCAGAACTCACGTTCACACTCATGGAACTCACACACATCCACGCAGAACTCACATTCACACACACAACCCACACGCCCATGCGGAACTCACACTTGATGCTCCCACGCAGAACTCACGTTCACACTCACGCGGAACTCACATGTTCACACACAACTCCCACATTCACACTCCCACATGAAACTCAGGCTCACACGGAGCTCACACACATTTCTACTTCCCACAAGGGACTCCACACTCCACGTGCAGAACTCACACGTCCACACGCAGCACTCTCACGCCCCCACTCCCACGAGGACCACCGGCAGGGCCGTGGGGAGCGCGGGTGGGGGTGGGGCTGGGCGCCGCGGCTGACGGGCCCTCTGCGCAGCGACGCCTTCCTGGAGGGCTACGTGCAGCAGTTCCTGTACACCTTCCGCTACTTCTGCACGCCCCAGGACTTCCTGCACTTCCTCCTCGACCGCATCAGCAGCACCCTGTGCAGGTACGCCCGGTGTCCGCGCGCCCCGGACGGTCCCGTCCTGCCCCGCGGTGGAGCCCAGGGCCCCTGCGGTGCGGTAGCTCTGCCTCCCTCCTGCCCCCGGGGGCGGGGCAAGCGCTGAGGGCCCCCGTGAAGGCGGAGCTGCCTCCAGACCTCACGCGCACCCCCCAGCCTGGCCGTCTGCCCCCAGGGCCCACCAGGACCCCAGCTCGACCTTCACCAAGATCTACAGGCGCAGCCTGTGCCTGCTGCAGGCCTGGGTGGAAGACTGCTACTCGGTGGACTTCACCCGCAACACCGGGCTGCTGGCCAGGCTCGCCGACTTCGTCTCCTCCAAGGTGGCCCCAGGGCAGCACTGGGGGGGGGGGGGGTGGCCGCCCCACCCAGGGCGCAGCCATGACCGCCCGGTCCTGTCCAGATCCTGCCCCTGGACGGCTCCGCGGAGCACCTGCTGGGCCTCCTGGAGGTGGGCACTGACCGGCGGGCTGAGGGCGGCCCGCGCGGCCCAGACCTGGAGGACCCCAAGGAGGCGGAGGAGGACGCCAGGCCCCTCAACGCCCTCTGTAAGAGGCTCTCAGAGGACGGCGTCGCCCGCAAGGTGGGGGCCTCTCCCCGGGGAGGGCCTCCCGGGACGGTGCTGCTCCAGACCCTGAGGGCCAGTGGGCGTGCGCGGGCACACACAGACGTGCACCCAGGCACACACATGCATGTGCGGGTGCAGGCACGGGAGCAGCGTGCCCTGCACACATATGCAGGCCCGGGCACATGTGTGAATAAGGATGATCACATGTGTGCAGACACCTACACATTTGACTGGGCGGGTACACGCGTGCACAGGCATGTAGGCTCACGTACAGGCACCGGTGCACACATGTGACGTGCTGCCAGCCCTGAGGCCAGCCCTGTAGGGTGGCACTTCCTGTCCCCCCACCCAGGCAAGGACAGCAGAGGGCCGGACCTACGGCAGCCATTCCTTCCTGGCACTGGGGCCGAGACCCAGGCAGGTGGCTGAGGGAGCCGTCCCGCAGCACTGGGGAGCCCCAAAGCTCGGTGGCTCTGTCTGGGGGAACCCCGCTGGAAGGGCCAGGCCAGGTGTCCTTGCGCCCACACGGCTGCAGCGGGACGGACTTGCTGCCTGGCTCTGGCTGCGCTGGGCTGAGGGGCCCTGGGCCCGGGCCTCTCCCCCCGCCCCTCCCTCTGCAGAGCTTCCCCTGGAGGCTGCCCCGGGGCAACGGGCTGGCGCTGCCGCTGCCGCTGCCGCACCACAAGCAGCGCCAGTACACCATCGCGTCCGCCCTGCCCAAGCCCTGCTTCCTGGAGGACCTCGGTGGCCCCCACGCCAAGGCCAGCGAGAAGGGGCCGTACTTCCTGACCGAGTACAGCACCCACCAGCTCTTCACCCAGCTCACGCTGCTGCAGCAGGCAAGGGGCTGGCCGTTGGGGGGGGGGGAGGGCAGGGGCCCACAGACGTTTGCTGGAAGGACACACGGACACACGCTGAGCCCGGTGGCCAGCGGCACGGGCCGGGAGCGCCACCGCCCAAACGGGAGGCGGGGCCTTGGCTCTGGGCCCACAGGGCCCACCGCCCACCCTACTTCGTCCCGGACACGTCACCTCCCAGGCACCGGAGGGTGCCCTTCGGACGCCACGGGGACCACCTCCCCTCCCAGAGCTGCTCCAGCATCCCGGGCCCCTTTGCTCCCACCCTGGGCCCAGCCTCTAAGCATCCCCCTCCCGGCACCCCCCCCATCCTTGTCACTCGACAGGTGGCTGCAGTGGCAGCCACCCAGCGGGGTCACAGCGGGGCAGACTGTGAGCCCCTGGCTCCACCCAGCAGCACAGGGAAGGGGAGCACCAGTGTGCACGGGGCACTCCCGTCCCCCGGCCTCGAGCACAGGTTCCTGGGAACGGGACCTGACCATCTACCTGGGTCCTTGTCTCCCCAGGACCTGTTTCAAAGGTGCCATCCCGTCCACTTCCTAAACTCACGCGCCCTGGGCGTCACGGACAGGAGCGTGGCCATCCCGAAGTGAGCGGCCGCCTGCAGGGGTCCACCCGGGGGAGGGGCTGGCCCCTCGGGAGGAGCTGGGGGGCTTCCCCGCTGCGTCTCACGGACACTCTGGGCTGAAGGGCGGTGCTGGGCTCAGGGGCTGCCCCGGAGCCGGACCCTCCGGGCCGCGCGCCAGTTCCCAGTGACGCCCGCCCGCGTCCTTGCAGAGCCAGCTCCTCCGAGTCTCTGTCGGCCAAGACCTGCAGCCTCTTCCTGCCGGATTACACGCAGGACAAGTACCTGCTGCAGCTCCTGCGGAGCGCCGACGACGTCAGCACCTGGGTGGCCGCCGAGATCGTCACCAGCCACACGGCCAAGGTGGGCGCCTCCGCAGCTGCGAGCTCGGGTCCACGGAACTGCACACGGGTCGCCCCACCACACACGTCTCACACACGCACGTGCGCAGTCCCACACGCACAGTCCACACGCAGTCCGTCTCTCACACACACACACACTGAGAGGAGGTCCCCCCAGCCCTCTCTCCACACCCCTGCCTCAGCCCCCTCCCGGCTGTGAGCTGGGACTCCCAACTGTCGCAGGAACCTGAACTCTCCGAGGGTGGGGACCGCCTGGGTCGCTGCCAGGTCCTTGCAGGCAGCACCTCACGTGCCCTCAGCCGGGGGGTTAAATAAAACAAACTCAGGTCAGTGGTCCAGTCAAGGTCAACCGCCGACTCCCGGGGGCCAGCCCGGCCACCTCTGGTCCCTGGGGCTCAGCTGGACCAAAGTATCTCCGCCTCAACTGACCCGCCTGCATCAGGCAGGGCACAAGGTGGGCCAAGAGGGACAGTCACCTGCGTCGGGGCCCCGGCAGCTGCCCCAGAGGCCACCGCCTCCCCGTCAGGTGGCGGAGCCAAGAAAACCTCGGCTCCTGGGATTAACAGCCTCTGCAGGTCCTTTTCCTCTCGATGCCCGGCCCCTCTCCTGGAGGCCCGCGGGGCACCCCCAAGTCCCACTCGTGACGGCAGTTTTCTGTGTCTTTTCCCCTTGGAGAAGATTGTCGAGCTCAGGGATCTAGGCGTGGACGGATGGGCCCGCCCTCCCTTCCGCCAGGTCGAGGGAGCGGGAGCCTGGCTCGCCGGCCCGGCCCGACCCAGGACGACACAAACACCGTGACGCGGGCTGCACCACCCCCAACCAGGGTCCTCGCCCGGGACCCCCGCGGGGACGTGAACCAGGGCAGTCCCGCCACGGACCTCGGCCTCCCGGGAGCTCTCCTGAACCCGGGCCCCCGAGAAGGCAGAGGGGGGACTCCAGTCCCGAGTCCACGGATGCCCCCCAGGCGGGTTCTGGCCCGCCCGGTCGGTGGTGCCGCAGCCCAGACTCACACCCGGCCCGCAGCGTGGGCGCAGCGGGAGTGGGCTCCCGCGTCCCTGTCGGCGGAAGGTTCTGGCGAGCGGCACTCACCACGACGCAGGGAGAGCCCGCGGCATCTGGGCAGGGATGCGTTTCTGACAAAACCAGACAGACGGCCTTCAGCCACAGCGCCTGTCCTTCCTCGGGACCTGCCGCCACCTCAGAGGAGTGCAGACTTCACCTCTGAGAGCCGGAGTCACAGGGCGCGGCGGCGTTGAAGCTCTGAGCCGCAGGACGCCCTGGGGCGGCCGGGGAAGCCCTCGGGGACAGTGCGTCCCCCCACCTCAGAGGACAGCCTGGGGCGATGCGGGCTCGGTCAAGAAGAAGGAGCAGTGTCCAGTTCCTCACCTTGGAGAGAAGTGTGTGGTTATCTCCAGAGGGGAACTGGCGGGTGTGAAAGCCAAACAGGGCTCTTATCTCGTGAGATAAGCTGCAGCTTTGGAACGCCGAGGGGAAGGGGCCAGCCCGGCCCACCCGCCCGGTGCAGCCCCGCCCCGCCTGCAGGCGTCTGAGTCCGGCCAGCCGGAGGAGGTGCTCGAGCCAGGCAGCTGGGAGGTCATGATGGTGAATGACCTCCAGGGACCATCCATGTGACCTCCGACCTCTGTGCCTCAAAATCCTGGCAGACGAGGGTCGAGCCTAATGCAAGGGAGTCCGGTCGGTACCTACAGGTGCCGTGTCCTCCTGAAGAAGGGCCTTGGCCATGGGGACGGTGCGCAGGGAGACGCAGCGCTGCACGAGGGGCCCGACGGTTTCTGCAGAACCTTCTAGACGTCTCTGGAACTGTGAAAGCCAAGCGCCGTCCATGGGTCTGTGACCTCAGCCTCTCAGGTCCGCTGTGAAACCCAGCAGCCTCAGACCTCTCTTTGGGCCTGCCCAGGGGTCTTCCAGCCAAGCCCGTGACCTTGACCCCAGTGGCCAACGAACTACAGGAGGCAGGGGGGCCGCAGGGGACAGCCCTGGGCCAGGCACTGAGACACAGCCTGCGGCGGACACTGACCGGTGGCCAACACGGGAAGCTCCCGTTCGTGGCCGCGGGGGCCGGGTCTCCCGAGCATTCCGCCCCGTGTGTCCCCTCCCCTCGCCCAGGTCGTCCGGGGAGCCACAGCTCCCGAGGGGCCTGAGGTCAGCTCTGTCGTCCGTCTTCATGCTCACCGGGCACTGGCCTCTCTGTCCTCCAGTAACGCCACCCCTGCCCGCTCCCCTCCCACCTCTCTGACCCGGGGTCACGCCGTGGCCGTAACCGCAGCCACTGAGCGTGCCGCCCCCTGTGTAGTTGCAGGTGAACCTGCTGTCCAAGTTCCTGCTGGTGGCGAAGCTGTGCTACGAGCAGAGGAACTTCGCGACCGCCATGCAGATCCTGGACGGCCTGGAGCACCTCACTGTGCGGCAGTCCCCGGTGAGTCCCGGGGGTGGGGGGGGGGGGGGCGCTGGCCTCGCCCATGGGGCCTGGCTCACCTGTGCTCCCCTTCCAGGCCTGGAGGATCTTACCCGCAAAGATAGCGGAGATCATGGAGGAGCTGAAAGCCGTGGAGGTACCCTGCTCTATGTGCGCTTGGGGCAGCTGTGCCCCCCGGCTCCCCCCTGTAATGACTCGACCTGCGTCGCCGGGGGTGGGGCCCGACGGAGCACGGGGCCTCCTCAGCGCCCTGTGCAGAGCCGCCTGGCCCGGGCAAATGCCGCCAGGAGCTCAGGGGCCCCGGGAGCCACCTGCCAGGCCAGTGGCACAGGGAGCAGGTGCCCCAAGGACCTGAGCTGGCCGGCCGGCCTCCTTGCCGCCTGCAGCCGGGAGAGACAGCCCCGTGGGGCCCTGCGGGAGGCAGCGGCATTTGCAGCAATGGGGCATCTCCCCCACACGAGGCTGCAGGGCAGCCCCCCCAGCCTAGGGCCCCACCCGCCGCTGGCCAGCCCCGGTCATGGTCTTGTCGGGACCCCATGGGAGGGTGGGTGGGGGGAGGCATTTGCCGTTTGAGCAGTGGGAGGCGAGCAGCTTGCGGAGAGGCATGAAGGTGCCCCTCGGACACCTGGACTTCGACCCCCAACCCAATAATCCAAGGTGTGCCTGGACGGGCTGGAAGTCCGCGGGCTGTGGCGCCACTCTGCGGGAACACGGGTGCCGAGCAGGCCGCGCCGCGCCAGCCCTGGCTGGGTGTCCAGGGCTGACCTCCGGCCCGTCTCCCCCACCCACGCCGCTGGCTGGGCCACCAGGTGTTCCTGAAGAGCGACAGCCTGTGTCTGATGGAAGGGCGGCGCTTCCGGGCCCAGCCCACCCTGCCCTCGGCCCGCCTCCTGGCCATGCACATCCAGCAGCTGGAGACTGGGGGCTTCACCATGACCAACGGGGCCCACAGGTGGAGCAAGCTCAGGTGAGGGCCCTCGGGTGCAGCGGGCGCAGGTGAGGGCCTCCCCCCATCCCTCCGACTCCTCTGAGGCCTGGTCCTCGGACCCTCACTCAACCCTCACCCCCCTCCCCACCCCTTGACCTGCTCCCATGACCTGCAGCCGCCTCCTCCTCCACAAACAGGGCCAGCGGGTCCCACACTTCGGGCACCCCCGGTCTCCAAGTGCTGCCCCCAGGTCGCGTGACCTTCCTGCCGGGAGGTCCAGGCTCACCCACCGGGAGCCTCACCTCAGCTGGCCTGAGCCTGTCCTCCCTGACCCCCGGGCATCCCATCCCCCCGCCTTGTCCCCACTGTCCCCCTCGGTCCCCCTCCCTCGAGCTCGCTGCGGGCACAGCGCAGGGGCTGGTCGTAGAAAACCACCACTGTGGCGCAGCCGGACAGGACACTGCTCCGTTCTGCAGCGACAGGGGCCTCACCAGCTGCACCCCCTGCCCTGCCTGTCCTCGGAGCCCTGGGCCCCCGTCCCTCGCCGCTCCTGGGGGCCCTCACCCCACGACCTGCAGCAGCGCACCCGTCCTCTCCCCACCCACACAGGCGGGCAGCCGGGGGTGCTCAGACTCAGCCCAGCCCCGCGACCTCAGGGCCCAGGGCCTGCGACCAGAGGTTCCAACCCGCGCCCTGAAATCCCCTCCCCCGCAGTTGCCGGCCTTAGGGTGGCGTTTGGGAGACCCCGCAGTGCACACTCAGCGTGTGAGGTCCCCCGACCCCCGGCAGCAGCGCCGCAGAGCAGAGCGAGGGCCGAGGCCAGTCCCCGGGGCCGGGCCTCGCGTGCACGCCGGCACCTGGCCGTCCGTCCTCTCGCTCCGGGGACGCGGTCCTTCATCGGGACTCGCCGCCGCTGCCTCCAGACTGAGGGCGGGAGTGTTTCCTGGAGCCCCCCCCCCCGCCCCGTTTTCTCGGTGACACACTGGGGTTGCCGCTCACTGCTCCCTCGCGGCTCCCTGGGGACGAGCCGCGGTTCCCAGTGCTGCCACTTCCCGGGGGTGACACTCTCTCAGGGCGGCGGCTCCAGCTGCCGTCCCACCTTCCCCGACCCCCGACCCCGAGCCGGGGAGACGCACCGGCCGGACGCCCCCTGCACACCCCCGTCCACAGCACCCACCCCTCCGAGTCCCCAGCCGCCGACTGGGGGTGCTGTTCACGTTGGGATCCTTAGCACCAGTCGGGGCGACGCAGATTCCCAGTGACTGTCTGTGAAATGCAAGGTGGGCGGGTGGACGGACGGACGGACGGGTGGACGGACGGACAACAGGCCTGGGCGAGGAGCGAGGAGCGAGGCCCAGCCTGGTGCAGAGAGACAGCCCGGAGCTCGCCCTCTGACGAGCCGGGGCTCCCACCAGCGGGGGCACCGGGAGCTGCCGCGCCGCGGGCTCACGCTGACTTCTCCGCCCGACGCAGGAACATCGCCAAGGTGGCCAGCCAGGTGCACGCCTTCCAGGAGAACCCCTACACCTTCGCCCCCGACCCCAAGCTGCAGTCCTGCCTCAGGCAGAGGATCGCGCGGTTCAGCGGGGCCGACGTGTCCCTCCTGGCCTCGGACAGCAGGGCCACCTGCCACCAGGTCACCAGCGAGAAGCACTCTCGGAAGATTCAGGACAAGTTGCGGCGAATGAAAGCCACGCTCCAGTGACGGGACGGCGGGGCTGGCCGTGAGGTTCCACGCCGCCGAGGACGGCTTGGGGGGACGGAGCCCCGGCACTGCAGGTGCAGCGCCCACCACCTTCGACTAGGGTCCCCCCAGCACGGCCCCAGCGGGGGCCTTTGGGCACCTGGACGGGGCAGCACAGGGCTCAGGCCGCGACCCAGAGAGGTCCGGGTGTTTCTGCCAGGACATTTAACAGTGCAATCTAAAAATTTTAAATTTTAAATGAAAACAGTAAGTAAACGCCCCGGGATCAGAGAAAGGGCTCTCCCCGTTCTCCGTGGTCCAGCCCACCCCAGCCCCAAGCCCGCCCGCCCGCCCACATGCAGGTTTAACCCCGTTTCCGTGGGCCTGGCCCCCCAGAGCCCAGCAACAAAGGACCGAGACTGACCTCTGACCCCCACACTATCCTCAGGTCCCAAGGGGTTCTGACCCCTTCCTTTGGGGCCCTGACGCTTCCCAGTGGCCTGAGCCCCAACCTGGCTCACACTCCCACCACCAGAGCCCCCAGACCCACTACCCCTGGCTAACCTGGGCCTAGCCGAGTGAGGGTCCCACCGGACCTCCTGCTGCTGGCAGGCGCCTCACAGCCCCACCCTCACGGCTCCCCCAGTGCCCCCGGGCCCCACGAGCCTGCCGCCCACTCCCCCCCAGGAAGGGCAGCTCCTGGTGGGGCAGCTGCGCCCCAGCCACGGCTCCGCTCCCCAGCAGAGCACACAGATCACAGCAGCTCTGACGCGGAGGCAGCCTCGGGGGCCACGAGGTCCCCGCCGGTCTGGTGGCCTGGCAGCCCCTGGGCTGGGGCCACTGCCCAGCGACCTCAGCAGCCATGCATGGCACGCACACGCCCACGCCTGGGCCCCCCCCGCTTGCCGCCGCTGGCGCGCTGCCAGAGCCGACCGCCTCGCTGGCGGAGCTCGCCCCCAGGGCCGGTGCTGAGGCTGCCCGGTGGGTCCGCCACCCCCCCCAGGGCCTCCTCCCCACTGGGGGAGGCCGGACCCCGTTCCTGTGTTGCGAATCACCGCAAGACCACGGCCGCTCCTCTGAGTTTTGGGATTACTGATTCTGCAGAGCGAGCAGCCAGCGGCCCCTCTGGGAGGGCCGAGCCTGAGACGAGACGCCGCCCCTCCCCCGTCGGGACCCGCGTCCCCACAGGCGCTCACCCCAGACCCCGGGGCCTGCCTCGGCGGAATCGGGGCCAGCACGCCTGGCCCTGCAAGGGTGGTTTGTGGGGTTTTTCGGGCTCTTATAGGATGGTGTTCTGCCAATCAACTCCTCCGCTCTCGGATTTTGAACTTATCCAGACAGGGCCGCGAAGCCTGAGGCCGCACAGTGCTCAGCACACACGTTCCAGTCGCAACAACGTACTGGGGGGACGGGTGGGGCTTCCAGCTTTAGCGCGAGGTCTGCATGGCGCCGTCCTGTCCTGTCCTGTCGCACAGGTTTCTAAATAAAGTCGTTTCTACCAAGACGGCCTCCCCGGGGCCCGTCCCATTCCTCCCGTGCGGCCGCAGCGGGGGCCCCAAATGACTGGATGGACACAGTCAGTGCCGTGAACGTGCTCGGGTCGAGGGGCGTCTGGGCCGAGGCCAGGTCCTCGGGCCACTCGGGCAAGGGCAGGGCCACCGACCCCTTCCCCTTGCAGCCCCGCCGTCAGCACACTCGTTCCGCAGGACACACTTCCTCCTGAGGGGACGACGGCAAACCACCCAGAATCTCGTAGCTGAGTCCCCGAGGCCCCTCAGCACCACAACCCTCCCCCCCCCCGCAGGCTGCTCTGCCACAGACGGCCCAGGCCCAGCCACTCCCGCCGGGCAAGTCCCGTGGGCGCACGGGCACCCAGACCTCCAGGCAGCCTGCGGGCAGGGCAGTGGTGGGCCGCTCCCAGGGCACGCCTCGCCAGGGCCTGGCTGGGCAGGGTCCTCACGGAAGGGGCCCAGGTCCGCGGGCACCACACGGGCGGGGCAGACGGCCAAGGGCTCACGGCGCCCGCAGCACAAGGCGTGGGCGTGGCCTTCGAGGAGCCGGCCATCGGCCACTGGCCCGATGCTCCCGTGTGATGGTGACGGGCTCCGCCCACCGGTCAGGCTGGGAGCAAGGAAGTCCCGCAGCTGCAGCCAGCAGTGGCCACGTGGCCGGGCGGCCCCAGGGCCCCAGTCACGGGAGCGGGCGGTTTGGGCCCCCACCCACCACAAAGTCGCTAAACCCGGGCACCCCTCCCGGCCTGAGGCCCAAGCAAGGTGCCACGGAGGCAGGCCCCCCTTCGCCGCGCCCATCTAACCGGATCCTCAGGAACCGAAAGCTGACGACCTCCCGCCACCCGGGTCCCCCCGTGAGCCCCAGCCCCCAGCCACCCGGATGGTCCCCTCCACCCTGGGAGGAGCCCGGCTCGAGGCACCGATGCTCTGGGAAAAGTCCCCACCGCACAGGGGGCCGGACGGCCCGGAGAGGGGCCGGCAGTCAGGGAGCAGCCCAGGGCGGGCTGCATGAAGCTGCCCAGACGCCCAGCCAGCCAGCCTGCCCAGCAGCCACGGGGACCTCAGCACACGCCCCGTGGGGCAGACCCGTGGGACCACTGACAGCCAGGCCACAGCCCAGAAAGCAGTGCCCAGCCCTGGGGCAGAGGCCACCCCGCCTGCCCAGTCACGAGGGAATGAGCCGGGGTCCACCCGGTCCGCACCCCGGCTCTGACCACACAGTCACCAGCACAGTCACCCAGGGTGGACCTCCCCACTGCGTGGGGTGGTCTGCCGCACCCAGGAAGTGCTGAAGTTCGAGTTCGGGGAAGCCCACCAGCGCCCAGAGCAGTGGTTCCGCTGGGAAGGCAGGGCCCCGGCCGCTGGCCCACCAGCTCCCTGCCGAGACCAGGGTGTCCCCGGCCGCGTCCCGTTGCAGCTGTGGCCGTCTGAGGCCAGCTGCACGGACAGTGGGCGTCCTCGTGGGACGTAGGACACAGGACACGGGACACGGGCAGGAGCTGCCACCGTCCCCAACCCCGGCCCCATGTGCCTCTCCCACCCCCAGGGGCCAAGCCCAGGAACGGCATTTTCAAGGGACATGGTCAGGCCGAAGCCGCAGGAGCTGCCTGTGAAGACCGCTCGGCCCGAGGGCGGCTGCGCGCTGGGGCTGGGCTCCGAGATCCCGGGGCTGCTCCCCGCGCACAGGGGGGCCGGCTGGTGACCGGCTGCGGACGCGGGGGCCGGGCCTCTGGCTGGCGGAGCAGAGGCCGCTGGAAAGCCTGGGGGGACGTGAGGGCGAGCCCGGCCGTGTGCGTGGGGACCAGGGGGTGCAGAAGGAGTCCGCGGAGGCGTGGACGTGGGCCGGCGCACACGGCTGGGCCGCTGGGGGGCCTCTCCATCACCCGCTGCGGACGTTGGCTGGATGGCTCTGTGCCCTGGGCCCCCTGGGCCCTGCCGGAGGATTCGCAGCATCTCTGGTCCCTACCCACTGCACGTCAGCCCCTCCCCCCAAGTTGTGACAACCGCAGGGCCTCCACACACGCCGCCAAACACCCCCTGGGGGAGAATACCCCCAGAACCAATGGCTTGGAAGCAGCAACAACCCCTGTTCCCAGACCTGGGTTCCCAGGTCCCGTGCCAGACCGCAGCCTGGGGCGGGAGGAGCGTGCACGGGCCCACGCTGACGCAGCCTGACCAGTGCGTGGGGCGCAGGCGGGGAGCGGCACGGGAGGCCCGGCCAACGCATGTGGACGCCCCTTGGTTCCTCCCGAGTGCGGGTGGGCTCGGTGACTGCCCCGCTGCCGGCCGGAGACGGGGAGACGGCGCCCCGACAGCGCAGGGAGGGAGGCCCCAGCCTCAGGGAACTCAGGCGGGCCCCGCAGCCCCACCGCGGCCACGCACCCGACGTGACTCGCAGGGCGAGCACGGAGCCTCCGTGGTCTCTTCCCCGAAACCACGGAAAGGCACCAAACACAAGCGGAGGGACAGGCCACACAACACCAGACCCCAGTCCTCAAACCGGCAGCGACACGGAAACGAGGCGGAGGATGGCCGCAGCCAGCCGAGACGGAGGGGACACGGCGAAGGAGTGCAGGTCCCCGGACGGGGCCCCGGGACAGAGAAGGGACGTGGGCAGAAGACCTGTCCCTGATCTCGTCTGCAGTTCGGTCCGTAGGGCGGCGCCGACATTAACTCCTTAGCTCTGACCAACGCACCAGGGCTGGTGCCACGTTCGTGGGGGACAGGGGTGGGGGAGCACAGGGGCTGCGGGCTGTCTGCGACCCGCTTCCTAATCTACGATTTTCCCAAACGAAGCAGCTGTGAAAACCACTGCCGCCGGTGTACAGCGAGACGGCCAACTAGTTTATCACTCGTGCAGGACCTGACGTTCCCGGGCTAATTCCAGCGGTGCGGTTGTCGGTTACTTTGTATTCCCCGTGTATACAATCAGACAATCTGCAAGGGAAGCCAGTTGTCCTTGGTCCTCCCTGATCTGTTTCCGCCTCATTCGCTTTTCCTGTCTTATCGCTCTGGCTAGAACGTCTCCCTCAGCGTAGCACACAAACGGCGATGCTGGGCCTCCTGGTTCTACTGCTCATCACAGAGAGTATTCATGTTCCACTCTCTGCGTTGACCGTAATGTTCGCCCTAAGTTTCTTTCTGGGGACTCTGTGAATTATGACCCTACTTCTGACCTCTGGTCACGGCCCTTTAATAAATGGAACCCGAAGCCGTCTCCACGCGGAGACGGCGACGCACAGCCACCTGTGCACATCCCAAACCAAAGGAGACATCGAGGAGCAGAGCAAGACGCTTCCACAAACGACACCCGGGCCCAGCCAGGCAGCAGAGACGGGCCCTGCGGGAGCCTTCCGGCTGGAAGGTTCCAGAGCCGCTCTGCGCAGCGGCGAGAGGGCTTGACACATGCGTGAACACAAGCTGAACTTTGCGCCTAACACGCGTCACCGGGTTAGTGTGCACCACAATCTAACCATTAGGAGAGTCCAACCTCAGTAGCGTGCCAGGTTGCCCCCACCGTCGGGTGGGGGCGGAGCCTTGCCCTCCGCACCTGCGGCCTAGGGGCCCGGAAAGCTTGTCGGGAAACCGAGGCGCAGGAACAGAGTTGAACTGGGCGCGGAGGGGGCGGGGCTGGGCGGGGCGGGGGGAGGGCCGCGTAGACCCGGCTCCAGCTCGTCGGAGGGCGGAAGCGCGCAGACCCCGCAGAGCGCGTGTGGGCGGCCGTGCGGGCTGCCGCCCGGACCTTAGCACGTGCCCCCCTTCCCCC